GCTTGCTATTTGGCCACTGGGCTATAGGCCCATCAACAATATCAGAGGCACGGATAGCGCGCCTCTATTGTTCGGACAAGGCTTTGTCTTTCTCTCTATCTTTGCCCTTCGTTTTCCCATCTCCTGTGATTTCCGGAGGAAGGAGTGAAGGATGCTGCTGACAAATTGGTGAAATTTGTCGCACAAAAAGTGAGTCAAAGGGACCATGGATGTATGTGGCTTAGAAAACAGGGAAGGTAGAGAGGAGGATGGAGGATGAGGGAGGTCTTTCTTTCTGGTGTGCCTTCTCTGCCTGAGGAATTCAAGCGGGCGGTTCATCCCATCCATCATTAACAAACCGTCAATCACGTCCCAGCAAACTAGCCCTTCGCATCGGCCTCCTCTCTGATATTTCCTTGAATTACTCTTATGTTTTTACCCTCTACGGTGTCTGTCTTTGCCTCGTGCTCATGTGTCTGATTCAGGCTGCTCACTACGGGAACGAACATCTACCCAGCATGCCATATGCTTCAGCTTACATCCGGGACGAATATGGTTTCCTGCCGGTAATTATGCAGGTATATGGCGGAGGTGAGATTGTATGCTTACTGAGTAAAAGTACAATGCACTGCGCGGTCCGTGTTGAGTCTGACACGAACTACTTACTATATGTAGGATAAAGAGGACGATCCTGCGCAAGTAACTTGATTCTTAAGACTTAGATTAGGATCAACCTGTGGTTGTATGTATTCAGTATGGATCCAGACTCTGCCAGCTTGGATTTGAATCTTTCTCGAGGATCTGCTTGGGGTATCCCCTATGGACTTAGCACGTACCAAGCGCCAATCAAGTAGGCGAAGAATGAGACAAGGAAGAGGGTAGGAGGGATAGGGACCTTAGGCAGAGAGAGAGAGAGAGAGAGAGAGAGATGGGGGGAGGGGGGCGTGGAGGGGAGGTTGCCGCTACGGACGGGCCGACACCCGCAGCCGTCGTACATACATACACACGTACATACACGTACATAAATACAGTTATGCGTACTTGACAATACTCCGTACTCACAGCAGAGGTTTGCTGGGGTCGAGGGAGTACTGTACATACATACTACTTAGTAGTTATTTCTTTTTTCTTTGACTACAGCAACCCCTCTCCTGCAATTCAAGAGTTTACATCAAGGAAGAAGTAGAGATATGCAACACAATTGAAACTTCTCGCGCATCAGGAAGGAGATTGGACGACTGAGTGAGGTAGGGGTGTCAGAAGAGCCGGAATTATTGGATCGATTGATAGTATGGAAAGTATACCCTACACGACGTATGTTATCCAAGGTGATACCGCAGGCGCCGAACATCATCACAATCATCAAGCATTGTTGTTATTCAGAGTGCGTACGGAGTACTCCGTACTAACTTACGGTCCAGCCCCAGGGACCATGGAAGGATGGACTTTGCGCTAAGTCCTGCGCCGAATCAAGCTTGGGGGCTTTTTTAGTTCATTTAGTTACCTCTGATGCGACGAGCTAAAGAATCCCCCTCCCCCTCCTCCCCGAGACACCACTTATTCCTTCCCCACCCAGTGTCCCTCTTACTGAGCAGTGCGCCAGTGAGTAAGTAGTGCTTTCTCCCTCGACCTCCTTCCCATCCCCACTCCCCACCTCCATGTCGAAACTTTCCAATCATGACAATTGGCAATCCAATTGACACGGATATACACTAAGAAGCCTAGCGGCTCACTAAACAGCGAACGGACTCGACGGAGTCAACCGCCGGTCCCTCTAGCATCCGGGCCTTTCCCTGACGCGCTAGGACGAACTGCGTAAATGTACGGGGATCAAATCGGATCAATGATCAATCAAGGCCGGGGATCGCGCGCCGCTTCACCCATTCTATGCACCACTCAGAACGGTCGGTCTGTGGCTGATTCGTGATGACCACCGGTCCGATTATGTCTCTCGCTGCTCTAAGTTAGGAATCAGTTAATTTAGTCCGAGTGCCGCAATCGTGGTGGGGAAGTGAAATTGACCGATTCGACTCATTCGACATTCCTTCGACTCGAAAGCCTCTTTCTCCTTTTCCCAGATGGTCCAATGCGACTCACTGGTAAGTTAACTAAGTTCTGGGAAGGTTACGCCTGGGCTAGCCATGATGATTTACCTGTCAAAAGTCCTCGGCTGTACCTGCAGCTGCCATGCAAGTGCAAGCAACGAACTACCTAACCAGGTCACCTTGCGTCTAGTCTAGGAATCCTTCAGCTGTCTGACAACTCCTTTGCCCTTTCAGCCGGATGCACAAGAGCGCAGCTCCGACGATTGGACTTCATACTAAGTTAGCACGGGTTGGGCTCCTTGAACTTCCGCCCGCCCAGGGGTTCGAGCCGAGGCCATCCATCGATAACTACCTAGTAATGATTAACTCGCAACTGACTAATGGCCCTCTCTTTCAAATACTTACTAACTACTTAGCATTATCTTAGTTAGAGATCCCTGGAAGAGGGGGCAAGAAGGAAGACAAATCTCCGCCTGCAGTGTGACCTGCCCATTATGAAATGTCCGGAGTAGATGGGGCAAAGGGGACAACCGGTCGAGAGAAATGTTCGTCCGAAATTCTTGGTTCCGACCGGACAATTTGCACCACCATCATTATCATCGTCATCGTTCATGAATTCCAGCTCTAGACACGAATGGCATATGAAATGGCCCCCAACAACGTCAGCTCCGAGCAGGGTCTAATTATACTCCATTCGTCCACCGGCGCTTACAATTCCAATTTCCTGATCCTCCAGTATTGATTGATTGACTGACTACTAATACCCGGAACGGCTATCAGTTGCTCACCATGATACGGTGGCCTGGCCTTGTTATTGGTTCTACTGGTAATGAATTTTTCCTACTATAAGGAGTATTCTACGGAGTACCTCAGTCGACCTTGACAACCTGGTCCAGACCGAATCGCTTTTCTTGTCCATCTGTGTCCGACTGCGACGGCCGCAATAGTCCAAGACAACGAGCCAATCAAGGAGCCCCGGTGGGCTTAACATATGGGTTTTTCAATGTTCTTTGAGGCAGGGTCGATGTCGTCCGGCATCATGATCATCATTATCATCATCATCTGATGGTCCGAAGTCGCTTTCTGTGATGGATGGCGGGCTGCACGCAGTAATTAACCTTACATTGCATGTTCCGGCGAGTTACCCGTGCACGATCGACTGCACAGATGGATTGCCTTACCTTAGTGGGAAGACCAAGAAACTGCGGATGTGGGATCCTGCCGTCGTCTTCTTTTTCTTCTTCTTCTTTTTGCTGACAGCCTCACACTGGCTTTTCCTTCCGATCTTTACCCAACACACAAGGGGGCTTAATCCGGAGTGTTGTTAAGCATGTCACAATGGCATCATTTCACATCACTCTCTCTCTCTCTCTCTACACGGTACAAGCAAGAGAGTGTGACAGACCCCCTGAGAGGTGCGACGGTAGAGACCTAATTTCCAAGTGGCGATGGTTGGCAACCGGGCTGAGGACCTATGCCCCCCCTTTCCCCCCCCCCCCTTCCCCGCGACACGGACCCCTTCTCCTCTAATCTGCCAACCGTCCAAAAGTCCATAACTTAAGATACAATATTATCTGAGCCCACTTATATTAAGGAACAATAACTGCCTCGCCCGGATCGGCCAACCTGGTCCATGCATTGATTGGCAGCGGACGCGACCACGTATGTACACTGTGCATGGAGTAAATCTTCAATCCTGTCTTTTACTTCCTGATTCGTTTCTTCTTTCATCTTACCCTTCCCTGCTTTCTTATTCTATTGCTTCTTCCTATCTCCTTCCTTCCGGTTCTTCGTGTCTGGCCTCACGCTCCCTCACTCTCTCGCTCGCTCGTTCGTTCACCTATCGTTACCGCCACCAACCGGAGAATAGTTATGACTGACTGTCGATTGCCAACAGTCTGACCGCTTCTCTCCTCTGCTATCCTTGCCGCTCCTCGCGCGTCTGTGCCAGGGTCGGTTTCAGCTGCAACAACCCGTGATGCATATGCGGGCGCAGGGTTGGCCGTCTTGTGAAGTTGGGTCAATGTCGGACCAAGAGATCATGCTGGGGATGTCGTTCCTGTTTTCCCCTCCCCTCTAGTTTCCCTCTTTAATTTTTTTTTCTCTCTCTTTATGGAGTACACCGTTACCGAAAACCAAGCTAGAGCACGTAGTGTGATGTGCACACATTCCACAGAGTGACATACATATGTATGTCACTTTCATAGCGGCCGATCCATGGCCCTTCCTTCTCTGGAAGGACAATCTGCCCCTAATTATAGCTTGTCCAGCTGATCAATGGTGGTTCGAGGTTGACCATCCATCCCTTGATTAGCACCACTGGCAACCCACCCAGCCACGCATTTGCCTCGCTTCACCGTCTTTCTGCTACTGCTGCTACTGCTGCTGCCGCCGCCACCGCCGCCACCTTCGCTCTGGAATGCGTGCGTTGTGCAACGTGAAGCAGGATTGGCTCGAGGTATGAGATAATGGTCTAGAGGCTATCACTGCAGCTTGACTGCCATCCTAGAATGCATTGGATTGGGTCAAGATTTTTGCATATAGGGCGAGGTTGCACTGCCATGCCATGTACTGTATCGTTAATCTATAAGCATCTGCGATGAGTGGAAAGGCTGTGGAAATGATGCTCATGGGTCAACCTGCATGCATCATGATATATTTGGCTGTGATCGTGTCGGCATTGACTTCCCTCAAGATGATGCCTCATGATGATATAGGTGTCTACTCAGAGCTTTAGCAGTCAAACGGCGTCTAAACCAAAAACAAGCATGGGCCTCAGGTCTATGCTATGAATATTCTGTGCTCTTCATATCCGCGTCTACTCCGTAGGCATCGAAAATATGTACTTCGTAGGAGAAAAGAGACAACCAAGGCTCGATGGCCTTATCGATAAGCAACTCTCCAATCCCAACTATAAATCACATGACCGTTTACCATCTCCCCCTACGCAACTGCATCCATGGTCCGTAAACAACCAAAAAAGAAAAAAGAAAAACATTCCGCCGATTTTGAACCTCCATTATCACATTGACAACAATGTCAATCCACCGCAGTCCACTTGCGTACTTTCATGCTTTCCTCGTCTGCAGCTGCCCAAGGCAATTGGATGTCTACTCCCTCCATCTAAAAGAAACAATCATCAAAGATACATCCAGACACTCAACGCCATCCCTTCCCTCCCGCCACTCCAGACCCCGACGACGAAACGCAGGGGAGGAGATTTAGAAAGAAAGAAAGAAAGAAAGAAAGAAAGAAAGAGGGAGAGACAGGGGAGTAGAAAGAGTCAGACAATGCCACCATTCTCCCATTCCACCAAGCTCAAATTCAAACCCAACCCTCAACCTCGAGCTCGCTACTTTGATGTCTTCAACTCCGCCTCCACGGGACATCAGGTTGCCGATGGGGGCTCGCGCGGACGCGAATGGCGGATCACTCGGCATGAGAAACTGGCGCGGCAATTTGGGTCGAGGGATGGGGATTGTACCTCATCTCCCGCGTATCACGGCTACTTGGTGAAAGGAAGGGACGGTGACGCCGGTGGGGATGAGGATGCGGGGAGGGGAGAGTGGGTGTTTGCGCATCCCGACTATCCCGTTTGCCCGGAGAGTAACGACATTACCAACGACGACAGGCAAGCGGGGTTGCAGTCTTTTCGTCACCGCTCGCAACGGCGCTCTTCGTTAGGTGGGTTGAGAGATGTGCAATTGGGGCACCGGAGCCAGCCTTGGACAACAACAACAACAACACCAATATCGACGGGCCAGATGGATATACGGAACATGCTTGGTGGACAAGTCCGGAAACGAGTACATGCCGCGGCTGCTAGCGATGAATTGAGTGCGATCGAATTGAAGAAAGCGAAGCTGCAGTCGGCGGCGTATAGCAATGGCGGGGCTATGGATACAGCAGCAGCAGCAGCAACCACGATAACAACCACAACCTCGCCTGGCCCGACAAGGGCCAGTGAGACAATTGAACGTGTCTCTACACTTCCACCAACCTCCATTTCATTAGAGGCCACGACAAATAAACCAACCTCGGCGCCTTCAACCACCTTTAGGACACTCTCATATAAACCCTCCATACAGACCACAACAGAGCCCGTTGAACAAGTCATACCTTCACCCAAAACTCTATCACCGTACTCGCAGAATGAGCGCACCAGCAAGGCGATCTTCACCTCCCTCATCATCCACATCAACGGCCAAACGACACCGCTTATCTCCGACCATGCTCTCAAGCGTCTTCTCACCACGCAAGGAGCGACCCTCAGCCTTACTCTATCCCGAAAGATCACGCACGTCATCATTGGTGTTCCAAATGCCGGACCGGGTAACGGCGGTGCGGGGGGTGGGCTCGCGGCCACCAAGATCCAGAAGGAGATTCAGCGTGGAGGTTGGAAAGGGGTAAAAGTGGTGACCGTACAATGGTAAGCTAAGCCGGCTTTTCCATGTCCCTTTCCTCTACAGTCTTCAGTGGGAGGGGTGTACGCAATAGGGGGTTCAAAAGCAAAAGGAGAATTACATGTGCTGATTGACTGCTAGGGTCTTGGATAGTATACAAGCTGGAAAGCGACTTTCGGAAGCAAGGTATGCAGTGCAACTGGGAGGAAAGCAGAGGAGTGTGCTTGGCTTTTGCTCGCCATCATCCACGGTCGTTCCCCCGCTGTCTGCAAAAGACTATTATGATCCACACACATGAATGCGCACGCATACAGAATCCATCTGCAGGAATTTCATCCTGTTGTCGACCAAGACGCCGCCATTATATCATGGAAGATACCCTACCACAACGCCTATATTGCCTGTCCAATAATGAATATCATGATGATACGTCGCGCTCCACGGAAGTGAATCACAAGCATATACATTTAATAAATTCAAAATCATAAGTATACATCGCCAATGTCATCATTTCATCATCATTTCATGTATCATGTCACGCGCTCCAGTTCCTAGATAAATGTCCCCCTCTTACCAAGAAGACCTCCACTTCCCCCGCCGCTGCTCTGTCCTGATCGATGTCTGCGCCATCCCTCGCTACTGCCCCCGTTCGCGCTCCCGCGAGTGGGCGGCGATGAGGCAAATGTTCCCGCGCTACTATCTGACTCGCGCCGTAACCCCGACATCCCAACGGGTGCATACGGATCAGCCAGCGGTTCTTCATCCGGCAAAGGAGGCAACGGGTTCACTCGCAGTCGCGCCGGGTACAGTGATTCGCTGGAGAACATGCGATGCGACTCGGGGGAATCTGCTCGGTGAAGATAACCAGAAGGCAGCGGGTCAGGCCCGTCATTCCAAATATCGTCGTCATCATAAGCACTACCCAGACCTTTCTCGTCCGGTTCATCCGATCTCGAGTCTCCACGCACTAGGCCAAGGCGTTCTTCTTCGGTTGCGCCTGACGAGCGGTGGTAGTGGTGATGGAGAGCACGTTGGCGTGAAGCAGGGCGGGGGCCTACAGGTTCAGGGCTGCCGGCTTTTATTCGCCCGAGAACGCTAGTAAAGGAAAATTGCCGTTCCGCGCCTCCGTGCGGTGGGGGGCTCGGGGGTGCAGTGTACTCGTCGGTCCCGGTCTCGACTGCTGATCGCATGGAACGACCGCCTGGGCCGCTGTAGTGCGTGTCGGGGTACTTGCGGCCTGCTCCCATGGCCTTTAGCGACACAGGATCAGCATCAGAGTGGGGCAACGGCTCCTTGTGCACGGGCTGCCACGTCTGGTGAAATAAGCTGTTTGCGCGCGAGCGAAGATCGTCTAGGAACGAGTTGCTACTCTGTGTTGTAGCCGGACGTGGTGGGTCATCGTCCTCCTCATTCTCACGTTTCTGCTCTTCTGGCACGCGGGCCATACCCAGGGGCGGGAGTGGGTGTTGTCGAACAGACGGAGTGCGCGCGCGAGCTGCCGTGGTGGGACCCTCGCCGAGAACGGTTTTGCGCCGGCGCAATCCATCCCACTCAACGATTTCGTTCTCAGCTAGCGGAGTGCGTAGATCCTCCTGACGGTCGCGATAATAGCGGCGAGCCTCTTCAGCCTCCATAGTACGGCGTGGGGTGGAGATGCGGCGAATGATGGCGGCAGCGCCGCGGATAGAATCTGCCTTTGGTTCGAATTCGTGATCTTCCTGAGTCGCAACCTCACGGACCTGGTTTAAATCGCCCTTGAAGACAGCAGCGTCAGGGACATCCTTGGCAGACTTGGAAAGTTGCAACAGGACCACGCCCGCGCAGATCTGTAAGAAACCGAGAACGACAGTGACGATGTCTTTGACTGCGCCGTGGAAGCCCTGGAACAAAACGGCGGACGTGACGATGGTTGCACTGGTAAAGAAAACGTAGTAAGTCGGAGTAACGAGAGCAGCATTGAAAATGTTCAGCGCTTTCTATATATGGTCAGTAAACATTCATGTCTGGGCGAGAGGGGGAAAAGAGCGGGCGAACATTTAAATAAATGATTTCCGTCAGAAGCGTTCCTACCACGAATACCAGCAGAACGTACAAGAACCATTCCTTGAACTGCGACTTGCCATTGATTTGCGCCAGAATGGCTGACCCCAAACCCTGCGTCGCAACCACGCTTAGCCCGCCGATTAGCGAACATATACTGAGATACACAAACATGGACTTCTTCCCGTATCTTGGTCCCAGGTACAGTGCGGTGAAGGTACACCCAGCGAGGATCACTCCCGCATAGGACAGGAATCCGGGAGTAATCACATAGTGTTTCATCTCCTGTATGTCGCTCACGGACGATTGCTCTGGGGCGTTTAGCGGGATAACCACAGAGCCTATAATACAGCAGAAACAACCGACTTTGCCAACGAAGCTGAGTCGTTCTTTGAGAAAGATGGCGGAAAGAACGGTGCAGACCACGACGGTGAGAGCACCCAGCGGCGTTACTAAGATCGCATCAACGAAAGCATAGGCTACGAAATTGCAGATTTCGCCGATTATCATCAGAGTCATTCCACACCACCAGTATAGATTCTTGAGATAGCCGTAGCCTTCACCGGCTTCTTCGTTGTATTTGACATTGGCACGGAGAAGTCCGATCTTCTTGAGAACGAAGGAGGTCCCAATAAAGAAGCCGGAAGCAACGGCCAAGCAGATACCGACGATTTTATAGGAGGCGGGCCGTGAAGAAGAGGACGAGGCGGTGGAAGTGGTTGTCTCTCGCGCAGCCAGAAGGGCAGCTGTTGCGGTGTAGTTGTAGAGCGCTGTCATCGCGGTGGTGGCGGCATCGGCGGCGGCGGTTGTCGTGGCAGCAGCCATGACGACGAGAAGCAGCAGGAGGGGGACGAGGGCGAAAGATAAGGGGAAGGGAAAAGAAGTGGTTCACAGCGGGAGGAACCACATGAGAGAGACAATTATAGAACCAGGACACTGCCAGCAGTGAATGAAGAAAAGAATTGTAGTCAGCAAGCGACCCCTTTTCTTCTGATTTCTTTTGCCTTATCCTGTCCAATGCGTGGTTTCAGGCTGAGATGAGTGAAAAAGTGCCACTGTGGTGGAGGTGAGGTGGAAGAGGATAGCCGATATATTTAGAGAGCGCTAAAAGGCTGTGTGTGGGAGAGAGGCTGAGTTGCGACACCGGCGGAATGTGGAGTGAGCTGGGGTGGGTTTGGAATGTGTCAGATAGAGAGAGAGAAAGAGACATATAAAGAAACTCATATATACAATTCGTACGGAGTACTTTGGACAAAGTAAATGTAAATAAGTATAACTATTCAAATGATCAATGAGCAGTCGGAGAAATAAACATGAGAATAAGACGAGGCTGGGGAAAGTTGAGCTGCAGCACGTGCTGCGGGTCTTTCATGCTCCATCGGTCCAAAGTTTACACAGTACGCAGTAACTACGGACTATGATTACAATACATACTTAAGACGAACTCTCAATCCTTCTCCTGCTATAAAAAAAGACAAATAGCATATGATCGATCATCAAGATCCGGAAAAAAAAAAAAAAAAGGAATTTCATTCACTCATTAGGGTATCCTTCAATGTCATCAAGTTCTCAGTACCACCCCTCCTCTCCTCTTTCACAGGCCATGCTTTCGACTACACTTCCACGAGCTTTCTGACGCCGTCACCTCCCATTCTCCACCTCCATAAATTATTTAGTTCAAACTCATTGACTTATGTAGACAAAGGCAAGAGGAGAAATAGATTCCGGTCGCTGTCGAATCCTTATCGAACATGATAGCTTGGCTTTCGCTGCTTGTTTACCGCGGGGGGTTCATCCATAGGATACGGCGGTCGGACTTTCCCACTCGGCCCCGGATATCCGTGGCCACCACTCGTCGTCATCGGAGACATCACAGTCGGCATTGGCATAGGAATACCACCCAGTTCACCGACATAGTCCGGATAGGGGATGGGGTTTTTGGGGGGAACAGGCGGAGGCACTCCCTCCCCGCTATGATGCGACGGCAGTTCAAAACTGGGGCGTGAAGAGCCGTGAGGACTTGGACTGGCCAGATCGCTCCCAGAGCCACGCGCAGGGGAGCCCAGGACCGCATCGTGCGGCGTCGGATGCGCGGGTAATGCATCATCAGCCGCCAACGGCGGCCGTTGAACGAAGTCCCCCGGTAATTCGGCGGGCAATTCCACCGCCATCGGATGGGGTAGTGGAGGTTGCACCGACAAGACAGGACTGCCTAGAATGGAATTGGTCTCCTCAGCCGACTCGTTCTCTGCCGTCGCCGCCGCATGATCTGCCTGACGTCGATGCTGTCGGTTAATCTTGGCAAACTTGACACCTGCATCGAGAATCTGTCGCTTTACCTCGGGCCGAGTCAAGTAACGTCTCGTGTTGGTGCTAATGTCCGCTAAGCGATTCCACTCATTCATACCAAACTCGCCCACACCAACCTCAACATTCAATCGGTAATAGTTATCCTGGCTCACATTGCGCTTCGAGAGATGATCGCGCAGCATCGCCACGTGGATGTCTTCACAGCCCTCGATTTTGGCAATGAGCCGTCGACGTGCTTCGGCAAACGTGCCCAACGCATCCCCAAAAAAATCCTCCCACCATTCATGTTGGCGATTGTTCGTGCCGGGCGGCCGTTTGCCAGTGCCTATGCTGACAAACACACCCACCTCACGGCCCGGCCACTCGTTCACCGTCGCTTCGTCCAAAACCTGCGGCGCCGGATTGTACGTGCCGGCTCCTTCGTCAATGAAGACGTGCTGCCCAATCTGAATGGGTTTGAAGGCCATTCCAGTGGCCGAGGTGGCCCGACCTGCCTGCCAGATTGTGCAGTTGAACTCGGGAGGGGGTTCTTTGCGGGAATCGTAAGAACGAAGCAAGACAGACGACCCATTACGGGTTGTACCTTTGTAGAGTGCGGTGACCGCACTGCATAGTCAGCGAAATCCTCACATAGCCTGGGTGTGAACACCTACGTCTTAGTTCGATATTCCCGATTGTCATACAGTAATGCATCCGGATTTCCCCACCGCAAGCCGTTCACAAATGTGGAATTGCGATGACTACTATGACCAGAAGAGTGCGCCGTACCGGTGGTGCTGAAACTAGCGCGACTACCTGAGCGCTGAGGGATTGCGATCGCATTGGGACTATAGGGAGCCCCTGCGAGCGAGTTGCGCGCACTGCCGGGGGTTATGTCATTGCCCTCAGCCTCGAATACGGTATGCTCACGAACACATTCGCGGATGGCCTCTTCGAGCCTGGAGGCTTTGAATAAGGTGGATCGAAACGGAATGCCGGCGATGGTTTTGTCAGTTTCGAAAACCCGGCGGGTCATGCGCACGTAAACCTCTTTACAGGTTTCGAGGTCAAGGCGAAGACGTCCCAGCATGAGGGCGATGAGACCGCCGGTCCCAGTGCCAACGATGAGATCGAAATGGTCGCATGGTTTAGGGATTTCTTCGCGGCGAGGCGCTTTTCCTTCGCATTCGACGTAGACACGGTACATGAGTTCTTGAAGAATAATGAGCATAGAATAGCCCCGAACGCCGCCACCATCTGAAAGTTCCAAGGGAAAAAGGGTTAGTATTGCGGGAGATATAGAAAGTGAGAGTTAGAGAGAAATGCCTTACCCAAGGAGAGAATCCTCAAGGGTGGCCCCTTGGTGGTATCCTTGCGGCGGAGATTGACGGAGTAATCCATGACCCCGCGGGGGGTTAAGACTCAATCAGGCGGCAACGGTTGTAGACAGTAAAAAAGCGAGTAGTAGTCGTTGGTCGTTTGGTCGTAGGTTCAACGAGAAGGGAACAGACCAAGAACCCAGGTGCGATGGCTGCAGAAATGTAGGAGGAAAGGTACTGACCCGAAAAAAACAAGAATGATGGAAGAGATAATTTTTCTTGTGTTTGTGCTGGCGGCAAGAGAGGAATGACTACAAAATGATTACTTTCGCACGCGATGATGGAATCAGGACGGGCTGGTTGCTGCCGGCTGCCGGCTGCTGCGCCACGCCCCGCTGAGATAATCAGTTCAACAGGAGAGAATCAGAGACAAGCGGGTCTCGTAGGGCAGAGTCCTCTGCAAATAATTGGCCCCATGAAGCGTGCCGTGCAGGTGGCGGTGCAAGAGGAAAATGTGGGGCGGTGCAAGAGGAAAATGTGGGGCGGTGCGTATCGGCCATAGGAAACTGACGTAACAAGCCTAGTCGGGCAAACACGAGGTTGTTTGCGTTCGGAACTTCGGATGGACGATGGAGAGATACGAGTAAGTGATGATTACTCTACTTCTACTACTGATTATTACTAACTATTAAGCAGCAGTTAACTACTAAGTGGTAGTAACTGGTGCTTGATCTTCAAGTAGTTGATCGACCATTGACCATTGAAACCATGGGTTCTTTTCAGGGACCGAACCGAACCGACGGTGAGACACGGACGGTCCTGAATTCTCATGGCTGTTCTATCCGTCTCATATCTCATGCCCCAACCACCAGAGATTTCAATTGGTTAACCCAGGCCAGTCTAGGCAAGTCAGTCAGTCAGTCACAAGTCATGGTACTCTCCAGGTCATACTCACCGTATACCATTCGTTCCTTTATCCGTCGAGTGACGACTACCTCATCACCTATTTGCACTCGCTGTCCCTCCGACTCGTCGTCAAGAAAGACATACCGACCAAAGACTGGGCTGAACTTCGCCCCTTTATCGACCCTCCGATCTTTCATCAACTTCTTCAATACCTTACCCATCTCCCCTTCTGCCATTGCTCCCGTCGCATAGTCGACATTGAGGCTCTGACAACGAACGCAGTTAGCCGTCAGCAAAAGCCGCGCTTTTCCTTCCTGGTTCGACCCAATCATCGCCTCCGCCCAGAAATCTTCTTCAAACGCCTCTTGAGCGCCTGCCACGACGATGTTAGGGCGAAACTTGGTGACATCTATTCCCAGGCCCCCTTCCAGCCGCTCCGACACGTTGTCCACCGATGTCGCTGACACCAGTAGATACGGGGCCGTATCCGCAAAGGTGATGCGTTCCTCTTTATGCCTTCTTGCATTGATCCAATTATCTGAGACTGCCGTTCCTCCCAGCATGACTACTAACAACATGATCACCACCACCGCACTTGAGATTTGCAACATTTCCTTCTCACGCGTTGCACTTAAGCCCACCAGAAGGTTGAACAAAAGCGTCACCCCAGCAATTCCACCCACTGTTCCCGAACTCAGCATATTCTCACCATGTGAGGATCCCTCCATTTTGCTCGTCCCTGCCTCCTTGGTTGCCCCGATATGCGCCACACTTTTCGTGGGCGCAAAACTCCCCAAAACCCGCCTCGAATGTGGTCCCAGGTAGGCCAGCACAACGGGGTATCCGAACCGCTCGCTAAACCAATCATTGTACCGCGGCCCCATGTTATAACCCTTCGTGGGGCTCTGATGCATCATGATGGCTAGCTCTTGCAATGGGTGCGTGTCAGGGGCTAAGGGGAGATTGAGGGTGCGGCCTGGCTTGGTGCCGCTATCACCACGAGAGGTATCACTGTGGGCTGGCCGATAGGTCACTATGATGTGTCCTGGCTCTGTGCCGTCCTCAGTGGGGTAGACGATTTCGGCTCGGAAAAGAGCCATCTCCGGGAAGTGCGGAATGTGCATGTTCTTGAATGAGCCATCTTCAAGGACCTTGAGAAGCATGAAGCGGCGATCGTAGAGAAAGCCGGTTCGGGTTGACGATGGCGGAGGATAGGGCCGTGCCTTGAATAGACTTTATGGGGTAGGTGTATAGTAGATAGACTATTATTTAATCACTACCTGGTGCGCGAAACACAAGGGGGTTGCGGATACAAACTGGGTGAAGATGGTGTAGAATTGCCGAGAAAGGGTTGAGGCATACAGTACTCCGTACATACCTGGCTGATATGCATGGCTGCGCTTAATTGTGTATGGCAGGGTGTTTTGTCGCTGCTTCAGACTCCCCTTGATTGTGGGGGGGAGGGGGGGTAAAGGCTGACTGATGCGGAGATGAGCACAGCCATTGCACGTGCTGAGTAGTTAAGTCATAGTTAGTGCAATTGTGTTGCTTAGTTATCTGCGCATTAAAACTCAATCAATGCTAGTATTTAGAGTATCTTGAAGGGGCTGAGAGAGCATAGAGGAAGGATGATCTTGCAGTTGATGATAAGCCACTGATACTACGGAGTACATAGTAGTTAATTAGTCCATTGAGTAAGTGTCTGTGTAAGCAGCAGAGTGTCACTACCAAGGTCAATGAAGTGTTTAGAGGTGACATTTCTAAGTTATACCTTGCACAATTCACGGGTGATTCCACCACACTGCCTTAGACTTAGCGTCCAGGCCAGCTTTTTCCCTCTCTCTCTCTCTCTGTATGTGTGTGTGATGTATTTACTTTTATCCAGGAACGTCGAAGTAAATAATCAGCTCGAGAGGGTTTACCTACTGTGGAGTAAGAGCGATGAAATAAATAAAATTGTCTCCCCCGAGACACCCTCCGGCTGAACCATCCTGAACGGGCAAGGATGGTCAGGAGTCGCCAAATTGGATCATGGGTCCATCCGGTATTAGTTAACTTAAGTGATTACCAGGGAACCTCCCAGGATTCTTACAGTAACTCTTCTCAATATACTTTGGTGCCTCTAAAAACAGATGCTCTTGACTTTTGAGACTGTCTCACCAGCTGATCATGGCTAAACCTAGTAGAGAAGAGTGTACGATCCTGCCATACTACTTAACTATACTGACCAGTACCCTCATACTCGTAGTAAGTGATAGTGATGGGAATCATTATTTACTTACTGTAGTTACTACGGCAAGCAAATCTCCTAGTCAGGTACACACATGAGCTGCTGCTGCTGCTGCAGAACGCCTTGGATGCGTGGAGCGCAGTCGAATATTACGGATCCGCCCCCGCTGGAGGTGAAACAGGCTAGTAAAGCAACTAACCTGAAGCCCTCATGCATTGCCCGCTTGGATGATGAGATTTCCTTTAATTTCCCTTTCAAAAACACACTTGAGACTAGTCCCCAATAAACATCGGTCCAGGAAAATGAGGTAGTCTAAGTCGTTCTAGTCCCTGAATGATCGGCCTCCTTTTCTACGCCTCCTCCCTCCTCTTTTCTTCTACTTCTTCCCTCTCTCTCTCTCTCTCTCTCTCTTTCTCTTCTCTCCTTTCTTTCTACCTCTCTCTCTCTCACCCCACGCACTCGCTGTTTCATCTTAACAATCCCGGTCTCCGTACCGATTACGTTCTTTATCACAAACCACAGTCGATCGAGCTGTCAATTCGTCACTCTTTTTGACACCAATATAAACTCACTGCACATCTATTCTCCGCCAATCTCGAGCCCTTCACAACCTCAAAAGAAATCACACAGACCAACAGATACCTCGTCAATCATTCATCATGCGTGTCTCTTCTGCTGCTGTCGTCGCCTCTCTGGCTGCCGGTGCCATTGCGACCGAGTACAAGACCGTCGTTGTGACTGAGTATGCCACTTACTGCCCCAAGGCCACTTCTCTCGCTGCTGGTCCTGGTACCGTCAGCCAGGGCAGTCCTTCTGCTGCCTCTGCTGCTCAGGTGAGTTCTCATGTGTGACAGGACAGCTGATCATAGAGGAGACTAACTGTTGGACAGCCTACCACCGTTACCATCTCCGGCACTGCCTACACCTACAGCACTCCCCTGGTTACCTCCACCGTGACCCACTGCGACAAGTGGTACGTCTCTTTGGAGTCTGGTAGCAATAACAAATGATGGAGAACCCGCTCGACTGACGAAGATTCTCTAGCTCTGCCACCGCTGCTCCTGCCACTGAGACCGGCGTTGCCGTCATTACCGGCTCTGGTGCCTCTCCCAGCGCGGGCTCGGGCTCCTCTCCGTCTGGCTCGGGCTCTGAGGCCACTCCTAGCGGTGCCGACGCTGTTGGCACTGGCCCTACCCCCAGCTCTGGTTCCGGATCTACCCCCGGTTCCAGTGGCTCTGAGTCCTCCCCCAGCGGCGCCTCCTCCGGCAACACTGGCTCTACCCCCAGCTCCGGCTCCAGCTCCTCCGGTTCCAGCTCTGGTTCCGAGTCTTCCCCTAGCGGTGCTTCCTCTGCCAACACTGGCTCTACACCCAGCTCCGGCTCCAGCTCCTCCGGCTCCAGCTCTGGTTCCGAGTCTTCCCCTAGCGGTGCTTCCTCTGCCAACACTGGCTCTACCCCCAGCTCCGGCTCCAGCTCCTCCGGCTCCACCGGCTCTGAGTCCTCTCCCAGCGGCGCTTCTGCCATCGGCGGTGGTTCCCTCAGTGAAGGATCCGGTTCTAGCTCCGGCTCGGCCGGTGCTGGTGCCTCTGCGCCCAGCGGAGCCACGGGAGTTCACCCCCAGGGTGCGAAGCCCACTCCCGGACCCAGCGGTATCTTCTCGACCCGCCCTGTGATCCCCTCCGGCCGTCCTTCCTCCTCCAAGCCCATCCCCTCCGCCTCCGCCAGCGCCGTCGCCAGCTCTGCCCCTAGCTCCAGCTCTTCCTCCAGCACTGGCACTTCCCCCGAGGGAGTCTCCGCTCAGGGTACTGGCTCCAACTCCGGCTCTGCCACTAGCCCCTCCGCTCCCGTCTTCACTGGCGGTGCTTCTCGCGCTGCCGTCGGTGCTGGTGCCGGCCTCGCCACTGTCTTCGCTCTTGTCGCTTACTTGTTGTAAAATGCCTTTCAATTACTCTGAAAGACAACCGGCGGCTTTCTCCAATTTGCCTTTTCTTGAATAGAAGACACCGGGGAAGAATGTTGAAGCGATCTAGATGAGGATTCCTGTACTAGAAGCTCGGCGGTTCTTTACCCTTCTTGTCGGAACATTCTCCAGTTCTTAATCCGGGGTGGAAGGGCCGCAGATTTGGACTACCAAGAGCAAAACAGATATCCTGCCTGTTTCAGTTTCAGCTCAAACACACTTCACTTCTCCATGATGTTGTATCTTCTGCTCGACTTATCTTCAGGGAACCATCCTTCTGAAGTTGTGTTTACCACCCCCTTCAGGTAAGCAAAATTCAAAGTGATGACATCCGACTGGATTTGGGAATACTGGATCATATCTTGTGTGTGTGTGTGTGTGTGTGTGTGTGTGTGATTGAAACTGTTTCAAACGGAGCCGGTATGTATGTGTGTCGGAAGATGGTCTCCTTTGTTTGCATGTCTTTGACTTCCCTTGATCTGTTACTTGATTGTGTGTGTGTAAGTAAATATCTTCTCTTCTTGTTTTCTACTTCTCATGACTCGCCATATAACTTGGTTTGATTCTTTTATGATGGCTTGCATACTATTGACTTCTATGACCAATACTTTTCTTTTCCCTGGGCTTGGGCTTTGCGTGTCTTTTCAACACCTCTTTGCTTTTTTTTTTTTTTTTTTTTTTTTTCTCTCTTCCGGGGTTTCTGCCTGAGCTGCCACATAAGAACCCCTGGTTCCCCGGACGTGGGGGGTGCAACTGTCAGTCAGCGTTGTTAGTTGCCATTTCTCCATTACGGTTATGTTTTTTGCACAACCTTTTCTTCAGGGCCCTCTACACATCGAGATAAACTGAAACATGGTCCGCGTGGGTATCCTCTTTTTTCCCTTATTCTGATTTGCTTTTTTTTTTTTTTTTTTTTTTTTCCAATTGTCTCCTCGTCGTGTCTTCGCCCTTCTCACCTTGTGTATAATTCTAATGTCGATGTATGAGGCGCTCCCCTCGAACACTGAACCGTTTAGTCTGATTCCCACAAAGAGTTCCTGCATCCAAGTAATACAGGTAAGGAATAAAGCTAGGTATACTAGCTACTCGAAAGGACGTGTAGTTTCACGCCTCACATAAGAAAAACCTTCCCAGCGAGAGCATGAAACATACGTTTGCAGTGCCCCAATCAATCTCCTTCGCCTCCTTCGCTTCGATGATGGCAGAGAAGGAAGCACCAAGCAGTTCGATCAAGCTTCTGTTATACCACATTTTGGCTCGCCCGAGTGCCACCCTGAGATGGGAGTCGAGAACTTGTCGCTACTAGCAATGCTACTGAGGTCAACGCGTCTCAGCCAGCCAGGCCTCATGGGTCAGCGAGCCTGCAGGCAACGGACTGGTTCCACATCCATCTTTGGCCAACATAACTCGCCACAACGTGTTCTTTTCTAGCTGCAAGTGATCGAGAAGGGTTGTGGGACGCGCACTCAGGTCCCCCTTATGATGCTCATATATGGCCATGCTTCTAGGAAGAGTCATCTTACTTCAGCCGACCTACAGTGCAGTGTAGAAGACGTGCAACAGTAAGCAAGGAACCGGTGGAGCGCTGTAACCGCTGCAGCTATCCGCGGCCGATCCGGCGAGGCCAGCACAAACACTCATCTCGCGGAGCCATCCCCTCATTACTTAGAATGTGGGGCATTGGAACGCTGCGTGCATTAAATCTGGGCCTCGGGGCAAGGAGCCAAACATATTTTTATCAGTGAAGGGCGAGAGCAGCAGAGATGGATGGCACTATCACTATCTCATTTGAGACGCACTCGTTAGAGCGCGCGTAACCGTCTGCAGTCTGTTCTGGCGGGCGACGACTGCCTCAGATGAACTCCCCCCCCCCCCCCCGGCGGTCATCAAACATCGTCCGCAAAAGTGTATGGCACGGTGAACCATCCCACAGGTCACCTACAACTCGTTTGGCTTTTCTTCCAGAGTGCGAATCGGCTCGAGTGTAGTCCATCCGCGAGCTTTCATCCAGTCGCCGCCAGCTTCGTGGAGCCCTAGTATTGCTTCCTTTAATTCACCACAGCCGGTCTTGTTGGTGTAATCCTGCCCAAGTCTTGAACGCACACACACACACACACACACACACACACACACATTTAATCCCCAAGACCAGGGTGTACGTGGCGCTGGATGTGGTTGTCGATGGTCAGAACTTAAGACCCGGAGGAATTGAGCAGATCAGACACAGTATATAAAGACTACATCCAGGGAGTTGAACGAGCTAGGTATGGTATGTACAGACTTCAAATGAGGCTGACTACCTTGCACGCAATTCTATGGTCGGGGGACACGAGGGTGGGGAAAAGAGGAAGGTAAAAATGCTTTCCCTGCGCGTGGAGAGAAAAAAGTCAGACGGCCACCTCCAGTCAGTGTCATTTTCGCGTTGCAGTCTATCATTTAATGTATTGAGCCTTCTTCCGGTCTTGTAATTTCAGTACAGGTGCGTCAACGGTCAACATGAGCAGATCAAAATTGAAGGATTGAAAACAACAAAATCGAGAGGGGAGGAGTCAGGTAAACGGGAACAGAACAACAAAAGCACAACTCGAATGAGTTCAGCCGTAGGGTATCATATCGCAAAGCCTGCTAAATGGTCGACTGCCATCCTCTCTGCTGGCTTCCCAGTGAGCCATTCATCAAATCCCATGCCCACCGATATTCCATCGCGCCCGTCACTGTTCCACCCTGGTGTCGCCTTCGTTCATCCACAAAGTTGTCGAGCGCATTCATTCCAATGCTTTTCACCAGAGTGGAGGCGCGGAAGGGAATGCAGAATGCAACTCCAGGCTGGAATCGGGACCCAAGGGCATCGAACCACAATAGCATTATAAGGAAAGAACAATAAAAGAGAATCAAGGAAGGAAAAACGAAACCACGCGCAGGTTATGAAGAGGGAAGATCACTGAGAAGAAAGAGGGAGCACATGCAGCGCGGGTCTTTCTATGGTACTGGGAGCTCTCAGACTCCCGCCCCTTGAAACGTGACACCCTTCTGTGGCCGGAACACCCTGCGATAGCTTGAAACAATCATCTCCCGCAAATAGCACTAAAAATGGACAAACGAACATGCATCAGGCATATCCTGATGCCGCACCTGCGTGGATGAATCAAGGCGCACCCATGCAAATCAAGAAGGTGCTGTCAATACAGCATAGCGAATAGAAAACAATGTGCAAGCTTTACTCTCAAGAAAGGCCTGTGAATCGGCCAGGTGTCGAAAAGCCAATATGAGCAAAGCGCGATCATAGATCAATGTTGTCATCAATTAAATCGACCGAGTTCTCGTAAGAATTATCACATGCGCGGCGGAGTGCTTTGAGCATTGCCGCCAGCACGACCCTTGATCATTGGATACTGCTTGCCGCTGCTTGCAGGATCTAGACTGATACGGAACAGTCTAGATTAGAGCCAATCGGCTGAACGTCTGCACACAATCGCAAAATCACAGAATTGTGCACTTGAATGGACGTCGATGGCTACCATTGCGGTCAGGGCGGAACGAGCGAGGATATTCCGGGCCTGGGTCGCGAGCCCCTCCTGTGGGCCGCCGATCTTGTGAACGGCCCTGCTGTTGACGTTGCTGACGGAGCATGCGCACAACATCATAGAACGCTTTTTCCACGTTGATGCAATTTTTGGCGGAAGCCTCAACGAATTCGCAACCGAGGTCTTTCGCAAGAGCCTGCCCCTCTTGTGCCGAGACGGCGCGTTCGACCGCTTTATCACTCTTGTTTCCGACCAACATAACGGGCACAGGGAGCGCAGGGCCGGAGGGGGTTTGCATGGGAGAGCCCAAATAGCTAGCACCTGAGGGGGATCCGGAATTGGCCGATTCTTTCACCATCTTGATCTGATTATAGAACTTCTGTATGCGGGAAAAGGAGGCCCTCGACGTGATGCTGTAGACAAGCACGAATCCTTCTCCGTCCCGAATCCACTGATCCCTCAGCGCTGTGTACTCTTCTTGACCGGCAGTATCCAGTACCTCCAGCATGCATGACTGCTGGTCAATCACCACTTGTTTGCGGTAGGAATCTTCGATGGTCGGATCGTAGGTTTCGACGAAGTGATTTAAGCATAACTAAGCACGAAAAAAAGAGTCAGCTAGTTGAGCGTGCGGCGCGAATGATCACGATAAGGCTAACCTGGATTGTCAGGGCTGTTTTCCCTACACCACCGTCTCCGAGCACCACCAACTTGTAGAGTGTCATTTTTCCCGACATGGTGAGTCAATTATGGATGCCAAAGGCAAGGTAAGTGGTGAGCGTTTTGAGGACACTCGATGGAGAACTGGTATGCCAGCGAGCGGTGTAATAGTGAGAATCCCGAGATGAGAGGGAATGAGGGAGAAAAAAGGCAAAGGGGAGAGATGTATGCGGGCTCCACGGCGAGCACGGACGCGGAAACGGAGCGTTGCGAGGCGATGGGGGTCCAAAGAACTAATTTGGTAGTGCGATTAGCCACTGAAAACCAGAGCTTTGAGACCGCTGCTCAAGCTCACACATCCACAACGGAAATGAAACAACCAATACGTAGATTCCGGCGATAAGACTTCGAAAAGGGGAGCAAAAGAATTGGAAGTGAGAGCACTTATCAAAACATACCTGACTCGATTGGAATATGATAGGATGAGGCTCAACAACAGGGTGAAGAAAAAAGGTGTTGCTGATGAATTCGCGTTCGTGACCAGAGAAACTGTCGATGTGGGCTTGTGAGGAATGGACGATAACAAACTTGAGAATCGAGGTTGCGGTTCAACAGGAAGTCCCAATTTGACTCGAAAAAACTGGAGCGGCCACCCACAGGTGCAGAAGGGTACAAGCGGGCGGAGTTTGATTGATTCGCTGACCCGTAACTCCGCGCAGACGGGAAGGGAGAGGAGGGAGGGGGGGGGGGGGGCAGGGAGAGAAAGGGAAGGTGGGAAGATTAACCAGAGAGGAATGGAGGTTGAGATATACGGGGACGAGTGAAGCTTGCACAAAATTTCCAAGACACGAAGAAAAACAATTCAACTGAGATGATGACAATGGTGGTGGTGGAGGAGATGGTGGTAAATGCTCTCACAAGAACGCTGCCACGTGAGAAAGAGGGGCGAAGTTGCAGTAAAGAATTGTTGTCAGCAACGGATCAATTGGCAGAGAAGTCAGCCTGCACTGAGGAGAACCTGAACGAACGACGGCTTTCTGAATTGAGTTGACGGGAAGGGAGGGGTATATGCGCAGAACCAAGAAGCAAGAAAGGCTTGGCCAGCCAGAGACAACTTAATACCGTCAAAGGGAGGGGCAACCTAAAGATCTCAAGCTCATATGAGAGACCTTTCGGAGTTGGTCAATCAGATGTTCCGGTCAATTCTCGAGAGGATGGGGTCAGAGAAGCTGAGGAAAGGGTGAAAGCAACGAGGTAGTTAGAGCGAGCGCTTGGTTAAGGGTGGGTTGAAGAGAGTTTCTTGTGAAAAGGAAAGCAAGAGAGAGCCGAAAGATGAGACTAAAGATGGATTGATTGGGTGGCCGGGGGTCAAAGAAAAATGAGATCAAATCAAATCAGGGTTAAAAGGGAGAAAGAGAAGAGAAGAGAAGAGAGAGAGAGAGAGCCTGAAAGCAACGAGGCTAAGATGATAGAGAAGAATATTGGTTGATACAGTAATAATTAAGCGGCGGAGACGTGATCCCTACCGGAGAACAACAACAGCGGTTTAGTCCGTTGGTGACCTTTGTGCGAGTTTCAGTGGACTAGTTTTCAAAACGATAAATACACCAGGGGGCAGAAAGAGAGGAGAGAAGAATAAGAGATAATAGTAGTAGTAGACAAAGGAGGAAGGAACTGTGGGAGAAGAAAGTAGACAATCAGATGGTAGTAAAAGTAGTAGCAGTGAAGCGCAAGTCAATTAACTTACTGTAGTTACTTTGATTATCTGGGCAGCAGGTATCAACTTATCAAGACCTGAGATCGGCTTGATTGACTTTCTCGAAGGGACTGGTTGCCCAGTACAGTACAGTACAAGACCGTATGATGATTTGGGATAAATCACCGTCCTCTTCTCCGTAGGAGAGAACTCTCGCTCGCATTATATAATTGCCACGTGCGCATATGCTGCACTTCAGACAACAATCTAGTTTATTGGAAAGGCGTTGGACTAAAGTTTCTTATAGACCTGACTTCAAGCATGATGAAGAAGAAACTCTCCAGCCTGCCGTTCGTTAAGATTCAAGCTGAGAAGTGAAACCCAGCTTTGCAATGTTTTTGCCTATTATCTATGATGGACTCAAGATCAAGGGTTATTGTTGTTACCTTTTGACATAGACGATCTTACAGCCCAATGCAGTCACTAAGAGGTTATGTTAGTGTTATGTTAGTTACTACCGAATTCAAGGTTCCGACCCATCGTATGTATATCCTTTTGAGTCGGATCATCATTGTTCTTGACTTATTTGCCATCTCTTGCCCCCCTGCGCCTATCCTTGAGTCTCCTCCACCGCGCTTCCTCTCTTCCTGTGGGCGGTTTGTGTTTTCTCTCGACTATTTGGATGAAGAAATGTACTGTACTAAGGTAGGGAGTAGTTATGAGCTACAAAAAAACCAGTGCACTTCAAGAGAGGTTTCGGGTTGACACGAAGTGGGCTTGGAGCCAGACTAAGTAGTAGTAAGTTCATGGCCGCTCCCCACATACGAACACAAGACATGGGATTGGTCAACAATCGGTCAGTCAGGAGTTGCACACCAGATTCATATGTCTCGCAAGTTGCCCCAAGTTTGCTGTGGTATCATCCATGCTTCAGAATGCTTTGGTTTCCCCCTTCGCAGCGTCAGATTAACAAGAGCCTCAACTCCGGTGGGCAGGTGAGGAACTCAGATGCGTCTCAGGCTGTGCCATTGAGGCCTTTAGTCTACAAGAAAGCCAATGCAAAACAGGCGAGGACCCATCTGTCCCGCGCAGCAGGGGGATTTTCACGGTTGGCAATTACCTCGTACCTAGCCACTGTAGCTAGCCATCAGCGTCCCACTCAAATGCAACGGGGAGAAGGGTAGAATATTCCGCGGCCCCGTAGAAGGAAACTAAAACCCATCTTCCTGATTATCGGGATCCCTAAAGCGTAACTTTTCCGGACCCAGATTGATCGCGTTTCAAGGAATCTGGAACTTATACGCCATGTCAATTCGTTTTCTCAGGCAGAAAATGCAGTGAGCATGATTGAGAATCGAGGATAAGACACCCGTTCATATTAGGTATCATAGAATTTCATGCCCCGTGCTCCCAACACTAATTAGTCGCCTTGTAATACTGCACCGCAAAGCTGCTACTTACCTACTGGTCACCCATAAGGAAGACCAATTATGTTCGACTTTACCTCGCTCGTCTCTCCCAGAGTACTGAGGATACCCGAAGCCCATCAGTAGTCCTAGTATAAACATGACGTCTTGCGTCTTGGTGAGCTTGCTACCAGGTCGGTCTAGTCTGGGCTTCCCGGAGGAGGAGGGGAAATCGTGATACTCTAGCGTAGCTAGACAGCCTGGTGGATCCCTCTTACCCCTATTATCGCATTATGGTACTCGGAAGAAAGTCCATCCTGGGCTTCCAGAAGATTTTTACCACTTGCTTCTGGAAGGCACTAGGGCTTGTGTTGCGTTAGTCGTTGTGTCGCTTGCTACTTACTACTAACCGATCAATTGACTCCTAGCGTCAGTTATACCCAGCATTGCTTTGAGACTCTAAGAAAGACGACGGGTTTCCGGTTCCAGCCAGTCTAACTACATGGCTGAGCCGGTCACCGTTCAGTATTGCAAGTCAACTGGATAATAGACGATCAAGAGAGGAACCCTGGTGAACCTGGAGCTCGGATTGGCGGCCGGTTTCAATAAGCAGCATCGATTGAGTGGTGGAGTGGTAGCGAAATGAATAGAAAGAACTTCCTTCTCTGTACTCCGTAAGTAGGCACTAAATTACAGTGGAATGCTTAGCAAGCCTACAATTTGGCTTCTGGAAAAATCGAAACCAGAATATTAGTCCAATTTATATTAGTACAGAGAGAACCACATTCAGCGGCATTTCGGAACAAGTATCACAACGTCCCATCCCCCTTTCCCTGCAGGGAGTCTACCACCCCCCGGTTGCATTCCACGTGGAAATCCATTAGTTCTCGGAGACTACAGCGCAGCGGTCCGTGATCCCGGACTAGTTCACTTAAGGCTCATAAACTATGGTACCAGGTACGGAATACGTAGGAGTAGCCATTTGAATTTTACATACTCCGTGGTTGATCTACTAAGATGCAGTTTTCTTCTCTCATGCCTGCTAGGGACCTGAGCAGCAGTACTGAGTAGTCCGGAGTGGTTCGAGATCACTGAACATCGAATACTTTTTGGCTGGATAAGGGGAGGGATTAACACTTGCACAGCAACCACCCCTACCTACCTTAGTAAACTTGCGCCACTAATTAGTTTGTATCCTGTACTAATCAAACTGACTCGGTGTTGATTCTGTATCGGTACGGCATCCTACATATATACGGTAGGCACCAGTCAGGCTGTGTATGTACGGTACTGCACATACATAAATAGTACCATACCTACTTAGATTACATACTGGGCATTACATCCTATATGCAGGGCAGGCAGGGTGGATGCGACCACACGAAGAACAGGATCAGAGGCCGACGTCCCACCAGTATGGGACCTGCGCCCCTTCCCTGCTCGCTCAAGCACATGGCCAACCTCGTGCATTCTGGCAGTACCGGATATCCTATACTGTAATGTACTGTAAATTGTATGTACTGAACATAGATCGAGCCCCTGGATGCACTCGAGGAAGCCCGAGACACCAACCGGTGCACCGACCTGGCACACCCACAGCAACGACTTTTCATCATCATCATCAGACTTCTACCTTGACTCGCTTTAAGACCTCAGATCGAGTCGGAGCTATATTTGAAAGATGTAAGTGATGTATACTTCAAGGTTTTCGGTTGTTGGCCATTGGGTCGTTATCCCGCCAACTACCTTACCTTACTAACCGTAGTCGTCCTCTTTCTACGGAATTGTCACTTGGTTCTGTCGAGGGGGAACTACCTTCTAATTATTGTTGACCTTCGAGAAGTAGACTCTGACGAGTTAAGCAGGGGCCCCCAAAATACTGTGAGTTGTTTCTGTCTACATTCCCACTATTTGACCTCAATGGTCCAGAGTCCGAGGTCAGCAGCAAGAATTGCATCCTGAGCTTTGGAGATCATTCTTCTGACGACAGCAGAGATGCGACCATCTGCGCGGGCTCAACTATTTTGTATCTAAGGTCATACTGCAGTAAGAACTGTTTGTTTCTGAGAAGCCATGGCGAGGGTTGGCGGAGAATAGACCAAGGCCGTCATCGCTTCAAGTGGGGTTCCTTAGAAATAGAAACAACTCAATTGACAGCAGAAAGGCATAACTTTTTGAAAGCTACCTGTGCGATCCGTCTAGTACTTAAAAGTTCCTACGCAGTCAATGACGTCCGTCCGCCATCACGAGTCCAGAGGGAGGATGTCTGGATTTGGACACGCTGGAATGATTGTTTGAAAGCTGCCCGGCTGCTTTCCCAGGGCCTTCAAATAGCCAAATTTGTACTATTCGAGCGGATCAGTAATTATCACACTAAGATTGATGCCTGAAGCACGATCTCGAAGAATGTGGTTTTCTTGAATGCCCGCCCCGCCCTGGGTACGCGAGGCCTCATCATAATACAATCCTTCACCCGCGATCGATCAGCGGGTAACCATGCCTAATCAGCTTGAGGTTGCATCGGAACATCAGATAGTAAGCCACGTCAACTCGAGCAATTGTCGTAAACAGTCGGATATCAGCTTCCGTGATTGCTTCCCCGAAGAGGTAGGGTGATGACCCGGCTCAGCCAGATGAGCCTCAACTCGATCCAGCGCTCCAAACAGCGGATATAGGCTCGCTAAATAGGCCTCCTGCGTCGTGGCGAACCCGGTCTTGTACACCACGTTATTGATTTGATCACATATCTATTCGGTCATCGCGTCTATCTCGACTCTCAGGTGTGGAGGGAAATAACCTCCACTGGGATGGTTGGCCTCGCGTAGCTCGTAGGGCAGCAGCTCGTCGAACTCAGTATAAAACATGCGAATAATCTCGCCACTCTCGTCGTTAACGATCGTTTCCTTCTGACTGTCCCAAAGCCAGCATGGGGACCGTGTATCGGCCTTCATAATTGGAGTCTGCCTTGAAGTAGAATTCGCTCAACTTGTTGAACCCATAAAGAGGATCCGTCGGCGCAGACCCATATTTACCAAGAAGAACCAACCCTCTAGCCCCTACTCAGGATTCAGCACAACTAACTGGATTATGCTGTCGAGACTTTTGAGTGACCGTACTAGATTTGTCCGGTGTGCCCACGGGCACCCATAGTTCAGGTACAAAACATAGCGATTTTCCTGCGCCGGAAACTCTGCATCGGGATCTCGCGAAATCGTGGAGCGGAAAGCCGATGGCTTACGCCTGAAATGAGCATCTGCATCGGCATGACAGTGTAGGCTGGTTTCCTGGCAAGTCTTTCATAAGAGCCCATCGAGGACATGTAGGTGTATACTCTTACCGGTTCAGACATTGTGATGGTAAAGCTGTTCCTGAAACTGTGGTCAGGAACGGTCCGGTCATTTCGGGTTTCAAGTAGCTTGTATAGGCTGTACTTATGGTTACGGACATGTGTATGGCTGAGGGCTGACAAACTGATGCGATGTTGACATTCACGGGACCCCCGCACTTAATCCCAAGCTAATGGTAGTTGAGAGTCAATGTGACTGCGTGCGGTCAGAGTCATAAACAGTCGCCTTTTGAGTGATCTTAGTGGTCAAGCCATGCATACACTGAATAGTCCTAACGCCAATTGTATATCTCGACACAACGGCAAAATGGGGTCTGAGTGTAAGTGTTGGGGACTGACTATAATGCTCACGACTCTCAGTATGGCATTGAAACCCAAGATTTCAGAACAAACCAAGCACCGCGTCCCCTGATATGTCCGTATTCAGGCCACAATTCTTAAAAAAATGTCGGGCGACCTCGGTCGGCTTTTCTGAGACACGGTCTACCGACTCATTGACACACTGCTCGTTTGCTTGTGGGATTTCTTGAGGAGTAAGTTCTTCTCATGTACTCCAACATAAATGGTCAGTCATCAACTCCAGTGCCTTGACAGCCTTAAGATCATAAAAGTGCGCAGCTACCATCGCACAATCTGGCCAGATCCAGTCTTATATGCTTTGCTGCACCATTTTATACCTGCGGCGAGGCTTATGTGCTCCGAAGCCTCGGGCACTGATAACACCCGTAAAAAGCGAGGATTCGTCGCGTCAATCGGAGGCCTTCTATTGATAAGGTGTTGGTCCGGAGACTGAGGTACAGCAAATTGAGGCACTTGTATGAATCAGGCCAGGGCTCGAGTCAGTGCCAGCTAAGTGCAAGCACCCATTGCTCGTCCTCGGCAAATAATCCTTCCCAAGTCACGCTAACGGGGCAGCTTCTTTAGGAAGTTGAGGGGATTAATGTTCATCAACAGAGGTAATATAAAAGTTTCGGATGAGTCAAACGCTATCGTATAAAGGCTATGAGACGCCCGCCATTCTTCTACCAACTCTTGTCAGTCTTCAAATGACATGGTCGTCGCGCGCCCAAGCAGATCCGACGAGAGTGATCTATGGCGATGGCGCAAAGCGCACTCACTTGCTTCCCGTAATTATCAATTAGTAGATAAGACCATTGCGCCCTTCAACAACCGTCCCAAAGACGCCGAAGAACAACATTTTGAGAAGTGATTGGGTGGACTCGTGTAGCTTCGAACTATCAAGTATTGCTCTTTGACATCACAGTCAGTGAGTGCTCTTTTATGTCAAATCAAGGCGATTGAAGATGTCGAGCGAGCTGACAGCGTGGCATTTACCCGTACCATGATGGTTGACACTCAAGCCAAGGCTAATTGTGATCTGGCGAGGTCGAGGGTCTATGATGAGGCACGACAAGTTGACTGCGCCAGAGGTATTAGCACGAATCCGTACTCTGTAGTTACTACTCCGTGTACGGAGCTCCGTTCACAATTAGAACCTAGATTCAGAAACAAATTCAGGGAGCATTCGACAGTCGCGTACGGAGGACTTCAAGATATCCGTGTTTCTTGTCAATTCGTGGTTCGGCGCTGGGTTCTTCCTTACAACCATGGCCTGCCTGGAAGCGATCGCGGCAGCTGCATCCTGGCTAGCATGAATACGGAGTACTGTACCGGCAGATAACACACTACTGTGATCCCGGAGTCCGTTCTGCTTCAACTAATAAGGCTAGGAATAGAACATCTGCCATTGGACAGCAGTCATTGTCTGATGCTGAAGCACCACTTGCCAAGTTGCTAACTTACTAGCATTTGAGACACTTCTTTATTGTGCACGGTTGACCTGTCAATCCCAAGTCGCGAATTCTTGCCCCTGAGCCGGCGTCCGGCAGGCGCAAAAGCTAGTCGTTTGGCCGCGTGGGTCGCCAAGGCTAAAACCAACATATGTACCTGCTGTTTGTCAAATTTTACTATATTCAGTTAGTGCCCATCATCCTCGCCCTCAGTCTACCGTAGGATCCAGTGCGAACGGACACTTTGCTCAACTGGAGACTTTCACCCCAGGCTCAGCGAAGCCACCCATCTCCGTATCGGTCGCTCACCAAGCTCATAAGCTACGTTGATAATAATCTAGACCCGAGGGTTTTGAGATCGCGCTGGCTGACAGACTCGTAGATCCAGCCCATTCCGTATTTCTGCTGTGTATACGAGCAGTCAAGACTGAAGAGGGCACGACTCTCACAACTCAAACACACACCAAGACTAAGCAAGGGCTTGTCGCTTCGTACCCCGCCTTTAATTTCCGAAATGGGGTCATGACCAAAAAGTTGAGCGCCGGCCCGTCCGTCGCCTCTGGCGCTCAGGTAACCCCCGAACCCAGGGAACGGTAACAATAAGGGGTGGGAAGCCCAAATCTGAAGATGCGCGATCCTCCCCCCGAGATTTCCCAGGTCACTTTGATAGTCGACAAGGACGAGGCACGCGGCTTGAAGTTTAAAAAAGAAATTGCTTCAAGGGAGATGGTCTTTTGGGCGGATGCAGCTGGAATCTGTTGATTCATTCATTTGGCACGGCTTGCGCGGATGTAGTACGCAACCAGAAGGTCAAATATAGGCATCCAATATAGGTCCATAGGGCTAGTCAGAGGGTGGCCGGACTTGGCCAGATTGACGATGGTGCTTGGAGCACGGGCCAAGTGATTTCGATGATCAATCAGGAGCTCAACGAGCTATCATTCATGGTGAAGGCGTACTAGTGCAGCAGTGCTTGATCTACTGACTGACTGACTGACTGACTTCTCCTGCACCTGCATCACAAAGAACTTAGTGGCTCGTGCGTTCCTGTCTTTTTCTTTGTTTGTACATACCTAGTATGGAGTACGAAGTACCTAGATCCTTACCGGTAGTTACTGTGTACACTATTACTATAAATAAGTTATAGGAGTTCATTTCCCGTGATATGAGATTTTTCCCTATTTTTTGTGATGTTTGATTAGGGAGCACAGACAGAGGGACGGACGATCTTCCACCTCCTTTTCTTTTTTAAAAAAAAAAAAAAATTTTCCCTCTTTTTTCCCTTCTCTCCCTCCACTTTTTCTACTCCATACTCTGTAGGTACTAGTTAGGTAAGTAACTTATCCCCACTGCTTCTCTCTCCTGCTCCCCCCCCTCCCCCCTCCACAGTTGCCTCCTTTTCTTGTTTCTCCACCTACTGGCAGAGAATACAGAACAGACTGACCAACTTCACATAGCATGACGAAAACAGACTGTCCCTGTGTCTCAGATCCTACAATGTCAATAAGACATGCTTCCTGCCTCCCGCTGACCCATGCATCTTGTCGTCGCCTTCTTTTCGACCCATCTCTATCTGTCGATTGGATCGGGATCGCTCTCTACTCCGGCGCAGGCCATCAGCAGTTGTGGCAAGCTCTAGTGGAGTCGTTCGGTGACTTCTCCCTCACTACTACCTTAGTAATTAATGAATCATTCATGACAGCCACACCCACCTGCTACCTACCCCTAATTCAGCGAACACCCCTGGACGAAAGTCACTTGTTGCCCGTTCGTCCTCTTGTAACGTCTTTCATCTCGCCCTGATCCAATCATGGAGCATGAGTGACCGATTTTCGTAGGTTTTTGTCCCGATTTAGTCCCTGATCGGGTGTGAAGTGATCAAACAGATGCCTGCACAGATAGTCACTCTTTCCTTTCCCCTCATACGGCCCGGTCTGGCTAGATGTGCATGGTTATTGTAATCCTTAGAGAAAGTTCGAAGGATTACACGCGTTACTCCGATTTCGCGACGCCAATCCTGCTGCATCCCATTTCTTCCATACTTCCTGCCCGCCTTCCTTCGTGTCAATCACTTGTACTTCCAACATTTTGTGCCCCTTGCTGAGTGCTACACTATGGTGAAGTGAGAGTCTCCGCGCGGATACCTGCCTATACTTCGTTGAGTATATATTCATATCTTATCCGACGAGATCCAAGGCCGCGCAAGTGTCGAAAGCTGAGTGGTTCGAGTGTATGTCTTTTAAATGCCTCCATCCTCGTTTCTGGGCTTCCCCCACCCCCTTCCCCCCTCCTTGGGCATGGAAAGAATCACTGACTAGCATGGCTGCTTCCTTCTGCCTGATAGTGGGCAATACTTCTTGGATCAATTATTGCACTCGCCCGGTAGGCCACCTCAATACTTCCTACTAAGGAGTTGCCAGAGTTGTTCTGCACCACTCAGAGGACGCGACGTATGTACAGCCCATGGAAGCTGCATGACACATCACAGTAAGATCTGATTGATCCGCCGTCATCGCGGGGGATGCGTCGGGACTGTGGTCTCCGACTAAGAACGCAATGACCACCAACAGCGCATATACTAGCTCTCCAGTGACAGAGAGCTTCCCGACTCCTACGTCTACACGGCCGAGAGCTCCGCCCATTCGGCTACAATTGCATTCTCCTGACAGTGATCTCTCGCCTTTCAGCTCGCTGCCGGTCTATCAATTTTCGCCTCCCGTGCTCAGCGACTATGATGACATCTTGGAGGAGGACAATCCTTCTCCACTGGATTCACGGCAATTTACCCCAACATTGCATGCCTCTCTGGTGTCGGAGATTCTTTCTCTCCGGCGAGATGTCGAGAGCAAACTGCGAACGATTGAGAGCCTGGAGCACAGCTTGGACGAATCCCGGATCGAGAATGAAAGCCTCAATGAACGCCTCTCGAAGAGCCTGAAGGATTCTCGCTCGCTTAAGCAGCAGCTGCAGCTTTTGGAGGGCGGCTCGTCCTCCGCTATTAGTGAACTCGCTCAAGAGCGGGACCAAGCATTAGAACACATTGCAGATGCTCGCAAGAAACTGGAACAAGCACAAAGAAAGGCCCGCAGTAGCGAAGAAGAAACAGAGAGGACAGTGCAGCTGTGGAACCGAGACAAAGATACCTGGGATCAACAGCGAAGAAACTTAGAACGGAAAGTTCATGTGGTTGAAGGTCGACTAAAGACCGTCTTGAATGAGGTGGCTGCAGCACAGGAAGCACGCTCTTTCCATTCCACACAAAACAGCGAACGCATAGAAGGAACCGATGAGAGGCTTACCGAAAAGGAAAGTGATGCTGCAAACATCAGCTCAAGCAGCGAAGGACGCCGCCGGATCAGCGTCACAAGTGTGAGTACTGACCATTGGGATGAGTTCGACTACCACAATGTGCGCTACTCCATGGCTAGCGTCAGCAAAGTCCCTGTTTCCAAAGGTGAAGGATTGAACTTGGCACAGGAGCTTGCTTTCGATGACGATGACGACGACGACTTTCGGACTTTCGATCATGGCTTCAGGCCTGACTCTCCTGAGGCTCTCCCAGAGGAGCGACCTGTCTCGGTACATTCCCAGCTGTCTAGCACAATGGGTATGGGGGCCAAGGCAAGGAAGATTCTCGGCCTTTCTCTTGGTAATATGGATGGTTACAGTGCCAAAAATGAGTCGGCGTCGGAGTCTGATAGTCCTCTGAAGCTCTCTGCGGCTTCATTTATGTATCGAGACGCAGGAGTGCAGTATTCTCTTCTTCTTTCCCCCACACTGAATCACTCACATGTTATTGACTTTCCTTCAAACGAGACCAACAGCAAAGAGTCTCCGTGCTCATGCCAAGCGAAAGTGAGCAGTGCGTCCAAACTCACCATTGATATGGTGTCGGCTTCCTGCCAAACCGTGGCAGGTCTTCCCACGCCTCCATGGACTCCTGATCTCGATAATGCCCAAAGACCTAAACCAGTTGTGATGGTTTCATCTTCTATGCAGACTGTGGAATTTCCACAAGCGGAACCGGCCGAGCAGCAGATCAGTATGTTTCTTGGTGACACGGGTTCGCCTGGCCTTGAAATTCCAATGATCGCAATTCATCCTCCCTGCTCAGAGCCACCATCTCCTCGGGGTAGCGTAGTGCTCCCACCGCAAACCAAGAGCGTTGCATGTCAAGCCACTCTTGGTTCAGGAGTTGTCTGTCGAGCGATTGGGGTTCAGACAGAAGAGATCAAGGGAATCCAGCGACCAGTCAAATTGGCGGCGACTCTACTTCCATCAGCTATACCGGACCTGCCGCTCTGCAATGTCAATGCGGATTTTCCCATCCAGCCATACTGCCCGCCGCCCGCCCGGCTAAAGAATATGGAAAGCACGACTACCCAGAGAAGTAACCCACTTGAGACGGTGCAGGCCTATCCAGGCAATAACGACAATGGTCCATTGGCTGAGGGATCTGACAGCAGTCTTAGACGCCCGCATCGCTCGAGCAGTCTCTTCGCTGGCTTTGAGCAAGGAAGTGACGACGAGTCTCATGATAAGGTCAATGAAGTCCTCACGGACGATGATTTCCTCAACCGACCATTCGCTTCTTATACGTTGAAAAGAGGGAAACTGGTCTCAACACAAGGTGGCTCATGCTCAAACGCCGGTGTGCTGGCGGAAATTGATGAGCATATCTCGGAATCAAAGGCTCGCTCTCCCGAAGTGATGCCGGATTGCGAACTTAGAGACAGGCTTGGATCCGCCTGGAGCCAGCAAGCGGACCAAGGTCTGCGACGACAGAATCTCCTCAAAGAAGTCACGGTATCCCATGAGATTACAGCCCACCAGATGTCCCGTTCAAGAAGCCCCAGTGAGCCCAGTGTCGATCACGGCAATACCTCCAAGATTGCTCCTCCCATTCCTGTTCCAATTCGTCACAGCTCACGGAAGTTCCCCGCTCGGCGAAACGATAGCCAGCAAAGTCCAACATCATCACATCCTCGAACCTTTTCTGACCGAGGACATGCGCAAATGATGCGACGTCCGACCCTTCGGCGTGTCCGATCGGCGGCTGCCATGGCTCAGACAGAACAGCCTGAAAGTCGATCGTCGCCGACGTCTACCTCGTCTTGCAGCCCCGACAGTTCACGGTACTCTGTTCTTCCATACGATGGCATTCCTGCTCCGTGCGAAGGTCAACCCGTCCAGCGGCGCTCAGCTTTCGCCCCAACAGTCTCTCACACTTTTGCTCATGAACGACAAGACTCTAAAGCTACCTCTGTTCAGCCTACAAGTGTTGTCGATGCTATTGCACAGACTATGGTTGGAGAATGGATGTACAAATATATCAGGAGAAGGAGATCGTTTGGTGGAATTGGAGAGTCTAAGGAGGGCTGGGAGGGACGCAGTGCCGAGGAAGTCTCAGCGAACATCACCAACAGTGGTGTCAGGCACAAGCGCTGGGTCTGGCTGGCACCGTATGAGCGTGCGGTGATGTGGAGCAGCAAGCAGCCTACGAGTGGACATGCGCTGCTGGGTAAGAGTGGCCGAAAGTGTGCGTGCTTACTAATGCGATCTGATACTGGTACATTTGAGACTAACATGGTTACAGTGATGATCCAATCTGTTCTCGATGTTAGGGACGATAACCCCCTGCCCAAAGGGACCAATGCTCAAAGTCAATTCAATCGATCCATTCTCATCTTGACGCCACAGCGTGCCCTCAAGTTCACGGTCACGAGCATTGAACGACACTATGTCTGGTTAACCGCGTTGTCTTTTCTGAGCCACTCACCAATGGGGATTCATGATCTAGCTGCCCTGCCCCCAGTGCCACAGGATGAAGGCATTGCATCGGCGCCGTCGCCTGCGCTACGCCGCAATCCTATCCGTGACTCGATTCGAGTCGCCAAGGGACGGCCTCGGCCCCGACCTAAGGGGAAACGATCTTTCCTCGGTCAGGTCGAACCAGTCCCTGAGCTTCCTTATGGTTTCGACTCTTCGCCGTCAATGGACGCTGCTGATCCTCCGACTGTGCCACGATTTTCGAACCATTCGCGGAAACGAAGCAACACTACACCACGAATATCGACGATCCGTAGCTTCTCCATCCAAGGCTCGATACCGTCGATTGAGTCGACACGAGGCTCCTCAGACACGTACGGTGTTCAACCCTACGGACCTGGAACTGTCAGTGGACGTACCTCCGAAACTAGCGCGAGGACGGGAAACTTCTTTGATGCCATTGGGACTGTTCGCATGGAGGCATTCATTGATCAAGCAAATAAAACCAGGGCACATCAGACTGGCCGACATAGCCGAAAGACATCCGGCGCATGGAGCGCGACTCACAACCCAAATTTCCCGCATGGAGCCGGGGCCGAGTCAAATCACCGTGTTGACCCTTTTGCGGGGTTCTGAGCGGGCATCTACAGCAAAGCCCCTTGTTTGTCCAAAGACATATAGACGGTAGCAATCGAAGTGTTTCATCCTTTGCTAACTGGAACGTTGTATACATCTGCTTTTCTCGATTCTAGCGTGCCCAATCTGCAGGCGTTGCAGCGTCTTTGATACCATCTCTCTGCGCCTCTTAAGTTTCTATTATTGTTTATTCTGACTCATTCATTGATTGGTTCTTTCCCCCGCTTTGGGTGACCAAGGCGCCAGAAAAGTAAGTCAATTTGATGGATATAGCGTTGCGATTAGGCCTGATCTAAAGTGTCACATCCAGTGACTAGCGTCGCTGGGTGGTACTATATATTTGACATAGAAAATAGAATCATGATGTTGCTCGACGTAAGCGTAAGAATAGAATGTGTACCCCCAGAAGCAAACATCAAGCAACCCTGGCCTAAAATGGACGGTATTATATACACGGTGATTGCTCATCATGATTCTTCTACAGCCGAAATATTGCCACGTAAGCAGACATTGTGGGTCTGCCCATCTTTATATGCGTGTATGCCTTTCTCCTCTATTCATGTAAGTGATGGACTGCGATTGTTGACCGTCGAAATCCGCGGGGGGTCAGATCATTGTGGAGATCTGTCTGGTGCTGAGTTCACAGCTTGGCGGCCTCCTTGACCTCCCCAACCTTCAACTTAGGTGTATACTTCTTCAACACACCCTCATTGTGATACTAGATGGCCACGAAAGAGAGGAGAAGTCAGCATAACCTGAAACCCGGAAAGCTAAGAAACGCATCACAGGGGAAATTAAAAGGACAGAAGAGTGAACAGCAAGGGGTATAAAACCGGGCTTCGAACAAAATGGAAACGCGATTCCGGCACGACCATGAGACAGAGATGGAACCAGAGAGAATCGACAATGCACAGTCAAGTACAGAAGCAAGCACTCTGCTTTCTTTTCGGCAACCGTAACAGGGAGGGAGGGGTGAGAAAGGAGCAGCACCGGTTGGCGAGCGCAAACAAAGTACAGGAACTGCTGCAAAGGTAAATCCAAAGGGGAGACGAACCTTCCAAAACTGTTTTGTAGCGTCCTTGCCTGCAACACGCTTAAGGATTTTGGCGCCTCCGGGGTGCTCATCAATGAAGCTGGTGATGTCGAAGACATTATTGTCAATAATGATGTAGAGACCCTTGTCTGGGGTATTGTGCGAGGCAACGTCGGCAGGAGTAAAGGATTGAGACATTTTGATAGTGTGAGTGGGTGAGTGATGATCGAGAGACCGTGTAGAGAGAAAAGACTGAGAAAGAAATTAGGATTGAGAGGAGTAAAGATGAATGAAATAGAAGAAGAAGAAGATGATGATGATGATGATGTTCTGGATGGAGGTGGAACGCGGGGAGAGGGAAAAAGGCGGAGAACGTGCCGAGGTCCGCAACTAAGTAACTACTCCGTACTATAGTAGTAAGTTAGTACTTATTACTAGTAGGGAAGTCAGCGCCTCAGCTCGGATTGCAATGCATGGTTGCTGACTGGCTGTGCTCGCCCATCAACCTCGGGACTTCACTCATACTGTAACGTACCACCTAGTATTATATGGAGTACGGAGTACTTCCCGTCTTACATGCATAATGACTGATCACAAATTTAACTACACGTAATCCACATGCGAGCTGGCCGCCCAAGCGAGTGGGCCGGCCTTGTATTGCATATAAAATAGCCTTCTTTTAACCTTGTATATCTTAACAGGTATATGAATAATTACTTTTTAAACTAAGAGAATGCATAGGGAAATACTAAAAGAATAATCTATCCTAATTAAAGATCTTTTAGATATTTATATATAATATTATATATATATTACCTTTAATATCTAATTATACAGTGTATTTTATTTTACCTTGGTAAATAAAGATATTATAGAGCTCTAAATTTGATAGATAGTTTAGAGTCAAAGTTCTAAGCTAAATTACAAGTACTTGGGATATTAGAGCATAAATTGCTAAGTTTTTAAAACAGTTGGAAAATAGACTGTTTATATGCAATACAAGGCCGGCCCACTCGCTTGGGCGGCCAGCTCGCATGTGGATCACGTTACATCCCGGCACATTTAGTCATAGTACAATAGACTCATACACACAACTATCTCACATATCACCACTGTTAATCCCGGCTCTTTTCTCCCGCCACCCCCTGTCCCTTCATCTTCTTCTCTAATCCCAAAGTCTCCAGGTCCTTTTTCTTGTAATAGTGTGGAGCCACCTCCACCAACCACTCGGCTTGTAGAGGCATGTTGCTACGCATATACTCCTTGCTGGTCAGTACTAGCTCGAAATAGATCACCCACCGCGGGTTCACCTCGAACAGCGTACTCGACGGGTGGAGATACACTGTCTGTCCATTCTTCACGGTGCGGTAGCTATCACCACCACGTTGGAGTCGCGCCGCATTAGGAAAGAAACCTGCAGTGATGGCCTTTTGAATAGGCACTACATTGTTCGACCCACAAGTGCTGACCGTCACCTCGACCCGATCACAGAGTTTAGCAAGTTGATCACGAACGTCACGGGCGCGCGTTAAACTGCGCTGCTGCAGGAAATTCTCCTTCGCCCACACGTAGCTGAAGTCCGAGTCGACCCACTGGTTCCAGATGTTGAGCAGGGTAAGATGGTCACCGCCATCTTTGACCGTGAACCGGTTGCGAGCGCTATCCGCGTGAATCTTTTTGTCTTTGGGTCGGAAAAATAGGGCACTTGCTTCACCCAACATTGACACGATCGACAAGACCTCTTCCACACAACCGTACTTGTCCGCAGCAAGGATTGCTTTGGCTAGCATAGGATCGGTCGGAAACTCGGCCATCTGCCTGCCAATCTTCGTCAGCTCGCCGCGGTCGTTCAGAGCACCAAGAGCGTACAGTTGCTCCAGGGCGCGAATGATTGTTTCGGCAGGTGGGGGGTCCATGAAGTCAAATTCGAGCAATTGGTCAATCCCAAGCGACTTTAACATCAGAATAACACTATTTAAGTTCGTTCGCTGGATCTCTGGGGTGGTGCTTTCTTCGAGCTCATTATGATAGGCCCACTTCGTATAAAGTCTGAAGCACTTCCCTGGTCCAACACGTCCAGCGCGCCCAGCCCTTTGATTAGCAGAAGCTCGCGAGCACGGTGTCACCACCAGGCTTTCCATGCCTGTCCGTGGATTGAAAACATTCTCCTTCACGAAACCCGGGTCAATCACGTAGACAATCCCATCAATGGTGAGACTGGTTTCAGCGATATTAGTTGCCAGCACAACTTTTCGTGCCTTGGGTGGCGTAGGCTCGAAGATCTTAGTCTGTAGCTCGGATGGCAAGTTGGCATAAATCGGACAAATAATCATTTCGGGGATCTTATTTCCTAGTTTGCGCGCAGTCTCCTGGAGACTTTGTTCGGCTGCCTCAATCTCCTCTTGACCGGTCAGGAAGACAAGTATATCGCCTGCGCCCTGGGTTATGTGGATTTGAAAGACGGTTGTGATTGCCGCAGCCAAGTAATTTGCCTCAGGCTGGGAAGTGTAGTGGATGTCCACGGGGTATCTGCGACCAGGAATATTAAAAATGGGCGCGTCATCGAAATACTGCTGAAACTTCTGTGCATCCATTGTCGCCGAGGAAATTAAAAGCTTGAGATCTGGTCGGGCCTTTGCGATGTCTTTCAAAAGACCGCAAGCGATGTCCGTTGGTACAGTCCGCTCGTGAGCTTCGTCGATCATGAGCGCCGAGTACTGACCCAAATCAGGCTCCGTAAGAAGCTCTCGCAACAGCATTCCATCGGTCATGTACTTGAGCACAGTCTTGTCGCTTGTGTTGTCTTCAAAGCGAATCGCATACCCAACTTCGTTGCCCAACTTTACACCCATTTCCTCGGCCACACGCGAGGCTACGCTCATCGCGGCGACTCGACGAGGCTGTGTACACCCAACCTTCATACCGCCCTTGGTAAAGCCAGCTTCGTGGAGATACTGAGGAATCTGCGTCGTTTTACCGGATCCAGTCTCTCCGACGATAATTAGCACCTGATGATCGCGCACCGCCTGAATGATTTGATCTCGGAATTGATAGATAGGCAAGCTCTTGCGCGTTTCCTCCATTGACTGCGCCTTTTTCTCAGCAGCGTCCAACTGCTCCTGAAGCCTCCGCTGCTCTTGAGTCATTGGCTTTCGTGTGCCTTCCATTTTAGCATCCATGATGAAATTGATTTTCTGCGAGTCGTCGAATACATATTCGTAGTCACCCTCGTCCACGAACTCGGCGCGATTAATCTGGGACTTGGCCTTGGCCGTCTGCTCCATTTCCCATTCTTCATGTTCCGTGATGAAACGCTCCTGGCCATGCTCGTCACGGTCCACATACCGCTTGTAGAGCGCTTCTTCCTTCTTCTTCCGGTCAATCTTGCCCTTCTCAGTGATGTAGTCCTCAGGCATCATGTAGCCATCCCGATGATCGTCGATTTTGAGTCGTTCCTCTGCAATGCGCAGGACTTCCCGGTTTCGAGCAAACTCCTCCCTTTCTCGCCTGGTCAAGTTGGGATTATCACGTAGTTCGGCCGTCTCCTCCGCGACCTGCCGACGCAGCAAAGCCAGGCGTTCCGTCTCTCTTTTCTTGAGATACTCCTGCCGAGACCGCAATCGGATTTCAGGCATTACGGCTTCCCTAGCAGAAGCATCGTCAGCTAAAGCTCGTCGTCGGGCAGCCTCGCCCGCTCTAGTTCGGTCTTCCACTATCTTCTTCGATTTGCTCTCATCTTTCTTGGCAAGTCTTTTAGCGAACTCATCCCGCTCCTCGAGATCTCGTTTCCGCTCCAATTCCTTCCTCGCCTCGGGATCCAGATCAATAGAAGCGTCGGACCGTGGCGATGCAGATCCATCCTCTAGCCGGGTCCGCTTTGAGGGTGACTCCTCAAATCCATTGGCTCGCTCATCCTCCTGATAAAGTTCCCCAACTGAAGTCTCCTCGTCACCCCAGCGTTCGTCAAAATCGTCCAAGCCTCGCTGCCGCAGCTTCTTGAGACGGGGACGTTCCCGGTCTCTAGACCCTTCCTCCCAGCTACGGTCGCGCTTCCGAGTCTGGTCGTTTTCTGGGCGACTGCGCGCTTCAAACTCCCTGCCACTCCAACTACTGGTTTGATCCTTCTCAGTTCGTCTCCGTCGGTCCCTGTCAACCTCAACGTTCACGGGGCCCAGCGAACCTCGTGTATCGGAAATGTCATCATCCATGTCTAGTAAGCGGTACTTCTTCTTCGAAACGGCGTTCAAACGATCTTTGCTCGTCGTGTTTGTGCTGCTCACGCTGTGTGAGGACTTTGTGCCTGGGGCCACTCGCCGGTACAGCTCCGCACAAAAGGTTCCGACACCATCAGCACTACCGTCTAAAAATGGGAGAAGTTTGTCTTGCAGTTCGGTAGCAGACTTGGCCGAGGTCGCGGTTGCAAGTACATAGTCTACCACAGTGGGATCTGACGCATTTGTCAGCCGCAGGAGAGAGTCCGACACGAATGTCTTATGCTCCATGGCGTACAGCAGTCGGGGATTGTAGAGGTCAAGGAGCGGAGGGATAAGTCGGCCGTGGTTTCTAGAGTATTAGCCGTCCATGTGATTCCCGGCGTGATGATTAATCTTGCACTGGAAACGAAAGATTATGATAGACGTGGAAGACCAGGAAATTCGAAGGGCAATTCCATACCATCAAGAACGGTGATACACAGCAGATGAAGTGAAGCGACAGGCAGACCATGAGGATACAAGCAAGCAGCGCCCGCGGTGAGAAAGGGTGAGTGCGGAGAGCAGGTCCATGCCAAGACATCGGCATCGGCGGCCGGTGGCAAAGCTCCGTCTCACTCACATCACAAAGTCTGTGCTGCTTACTCGGAGTACGCTATGAACTTACTCAGTTTTGCAATTTTTCAGAAGCCCGCTCAACAAGAGCACTTGCAGTTGCCCGAAGTGTCAGTTGTCAGGTTTTGATTGGTTCGAATAGATACGGCCGTTTCCTGTCTGCCAAGGACATATAGAGACATACAGAGTAAGAAGGGAAATTTCGAGAGTGGGTGGAAAGCGACGCTGAAGACAGACAAATTGTACAGCCAAGGAATATTGGATACATGGACATGGAGAGGTAAGGAAAATTCATCAATAAACGCCCCCAAAGTGCACGGGAGGAACTGGGATCATATCAGTTCGTCCGAATTTCCGCAACCAGGGAATCCATCAAACAAGACGACAAAATCAACGCCCGGCAAGGGGATCGAAGAATAGAGAAACAGGCAATACTATAGGCCCGCCACATAGTTTATTATGAACATCCTCGCTCAAAATGCAGGACGTAAACGCAAAGAGGAGCAGATTGACGTCATATGTCACTTCAGTCGTCATAAACTGCAGAAACCCAATTATGCAGAAAAGGATATAGGTACAGAGCGAAAGGAGTAAGAGAGAGTTTGGCAATGTGTGAGAAGTCGGAACCTCACCAATCGGCCGCCCCTGAAACAAAAGAAATATCGGGAAATTGAATGAGTGGACAACCACCGCTCAAAGAATCAGGGCATGTTCTTTGGTCGTAGCAACATTGCTAGGTTTATATGAGATGGTCAGGTGGGAATCTTGATCGTAGCATGGTGGTCGAGACAGTCACATGGACATTAAGATTGATGGTTCGGAGTCTCACATAGAACGCCGTCATTAGATGGTATTGTAAAGGAAAGCACCAACTCCGTCGAAAATGCAATAGATATGTCAATTCGTACCGGTCAAACATCGATCATCTCTGCGTCTTCAGCGAGGACCTCGTCGGCGGGACCCCAGTTACCTTCAAAGACGGTAGCTCCAGCCCGGCGTCGGCCAGCGACGAACTGAACTCCGTAGGTCTCCAGGACTTGCCCTGCTGTTGGACGATCAAGCGGGTCCGGTGAGATCATCCATCGCACGATCTTATCTAAGGCTTGTTCATGGCTGGCATTGACCATGAAGTCAGGAGGATCGATAAGCTCGCCTGATCGGGCTAGAGGAACCGCGTTCCGATCACTAGATTTGCGACCTCCGAGAAAGCTGCCCATTCCTAAATCGTCATCTCCAAAGTCGGATGCACAAAGTTCCTCAAACGACGGCTCCTCTGAGATGGGATTGCCAAACGCATCGCGAAAGATGCTTGTGTCGAAGCTGAATGTCAAGCTGGGAATATCACTCATGTCGCCGTTCCGCAGCTTCTGCCACGAGAGTCCATTGTCGGGCAATTCAACGTTTCCAGCGATCTCGAACATAATCAAGCCGAGGGAGAAAATGTCCGCCGGCTTGTCAAAGCGACCCATTAAAATCTCGGGACCAATATATTCGCGATCACCTTCGCCTTCAATTCCATTTTCTGCCGGCCAACGTGCCGCCATGCCAAAATCAGCGATCTTCAATACTCCCTCGAATGTGATCAGGATATTTGCAGGCTTCAGGTCGAGATGGATGAAACCCATTTCATGGATGTGTCGCAGGCCCTATTGGTATCATTAGTATTTCTGGGCTTTCATGTCGTCTGTTTGCAAAGCACAAGGTCAGGTCGTACCATTGACAATTCAAGCAAGATCTTCCAAATCCGGAAATCATCTAACCGGGCCTTCAATCCCGCTTGAGCAAGGAACACATCCAAGCTGCCTCCCTCGCAGAATTCTGTTTGAATATACAGGTGGCCATTATCTTCCCAGCTGTCCAAGAAAGAGATGATGTGATCCGAGTTCGTCAGTGACTTGAGAATGTCGACTTCACGTATGCGGCGTTCACGATCCTTCGGCCCAGAGTATGGCTGTTTTGATTTTTTCACGGCCCAAACTTGCTCGGTATGGGCTTTGGGAGTAATGGTTCCCTCCGAGAAAGATGGTAATACTGGTGTTTCCTGGGGTTCCGCAACTCGGTAGACTTGGGAGAATTCTCCTGTACCAACGAGCTCCACTCGTTCGAAACGTGATGTCAAGCTTGGATCCACGTCTGGAACATGGTAACCAGTCAATGGAAGGCTAGGACGTTTTCCTGATTGAAATGAGTCACGAGGACCAGTGGGAGTTGCCGGAAGGTTAGGGGAGTTGAAATCGAGTTTGCTTGATTGCTGATCATTAGAAATTGATAGCCCACTCGGGTCAGGAAACAGGTGATCTTGGGGTGTATGAGGAGACCCTCGTTGGAATCGGTCGTGTAGTGGGCTGGAATTAGCCCCCTTGGCTTCTGCAAGCCTTTCTAAGGACGCAATCTGCGAGATGGGAGGGGGATAAGTCCGAGACGGAAAGAAGTTCTGCTTTGTAGGCGTTGGAGGAAAGTCTGCTTCGCAATAAGATTGACTGTTGTGACGATTGGAAGGTGATTGAGACGCAAATAGATCATCCCCGTCAATACTTGCAAAACTACCCCGACGAGACACTTCAGGTTTGTTAAATGAGGTTCCGAAGATCCCCATGCCCCGTTGGATTGGCCCTGGTTTCGCTCGGGCACTAGGCGGATTGAACGGCGAAGGTGGTGCCATCTCCGCCTGACGAACCGAGGCTGACATATCCAAAAGTCGCTCTGGTTGGAGCTTGGAGTTAGGGAAAAGGTTTATCGGTCGTTTGCATGGTGTATCTGGCATGTTTTTGCTGAGCCCAAGGCCACTTTGAGGGTCTTCTGCATTGCGGTTCTTCTTGGAAATGAGTCCAGTGGACATGAAAGCAGCGGGAAGAGGTTTGACTAATTTGTAGTTCTCGGGTGTTGCAAACGAGTCAAGTGATGATGCCGAATCCTCACGAGTGAGATGTCGTAACGGGACAGGGCGTGCGCTGCCCGCGGGAAGGGACTTGGAAAAGTCAAATACACCCCTCGGGCGATCGGGCTTGTGGATAGGTTCATGTGTTGGGGAGTCGTCAACCAGGCTGGAGCCAGATGAAGACTGTGTGATAGTCCTTGAAAGTGGGTGGGCAGCAGGACGAGTTTGCCCGGGATTACCTCCTGTTGACGAGAACAGCGAGCTGCCCGACACGCTTCGCGAGGCAAAAGGAGACTCTCTATGAGGTTGAAATAGGTTGTTGTCTAGAGACATGCGGGGCCGTGCAGGGTTCAGCGACCGATCGCTTTGTCGTTGCTGAAGTGTAGATCGACGGAGAGATGATGACCTTTTGGGAATTGTCGCGAAAGGGCTGAATGGAGTGGTACTTGTTGGAAGAGGCGGCGTGGTAGACTCAGGGGACGATTCGACCTCAGGATCTTCTTCGATCTGAGAAACATCCTCATTATCAAAGATGTTAAACTCGCTAGAAAGACTCGTGGCCTGAACACTGCGTCTTTTTGCTGAAGGGCTACCGCGGGACGCGCGATCCAGGTTCATGATTCCGTCGCTGCGTTTCAGCGGGCTGACGGCTGCGTACGATCCAAATGTCCCGCTCCGTCGTTTCTCAATGCGGGAATGTGTCTGTCGAGGTGCCAGGGTAGACTCCATGCATACGGGGGTGCCACTAGGATGTGCATCAACCGCGGTGCTAGCATTAAACGGAAGAACAAACCCAGGCGTGTTGGGGGAATTCTCCACACCAGGCGTTGTCGGGGTTGAATGTGCCGGTTTCGCATTTCCGTGATCTGTGGAAATGTTCAATGCGCGTTTGACAGGACTCCTAGGAGAAGTGCGCACGCGACGCATGACAGGTCTTGTTATTTTGGCACTTGGGGGATATGGTACAGCAAATGGCGATTGATGGGATGAACTAGGGAAGAGTACAAAATTGCTCTGCGCAGATCTCCGTGAAGGCGACAGAGGTGAGGAGATGAAAGGGGCTGGTTTCGACGGTGAGTGATGCCGAGGTGCTAGCAGCGAAAAGCTCGAGTTCTTGGAGGGCGAGCGCGATAATGACCGGCGTAGTTGTCGAATGGCGGTATTGGCATCCATGTGGTGAATACCACCATGGGATGGCAGGTGCAATGTGCCACCCGCATCGCGGTGCGGCGAGAAGGTTGCGACCATAATGACCGCCGGGTAATGTCACACCGAGGGACCACACCTGTGAGGATTCAAACCTGACCTGGGAGCAGAACAGACTAAAGGTTGAGGTGGTCTGCAAAGTGTGCTCTTCCCACTTCACAGGTCAATCAAAACACACTTTCCAGAGTGTCTTAGTCGTGGCAGCCGTCCACGACAATAGACAGGCGTAAGAACCGACTGGTGGCGGTGCGCTCTTCTCCCGGCTCAGCCAGTAATCGACGCGAATGTTATTGTAATGGAATGTCCGAAATGTAAGGCACTGCGCCAAGTGGTTGGGTCTGCGTGAGTTGGATTGGTGATGCGACAGAATGGATGAAGGAGCATCACCAGCTCAGGTCGAGACCGCGGGGGCTTCGAGAGCGCTTGTAGAAGCCTCCATACACCCCCAGAGAAGAACAACTCCCCTGTGTATATGCCGATGGTCGTAGAGTGTGGTTGGGAAGACAAGCAGCCTACTTCGGGCTCTCAGGCACGGGCCCACGGGCTTGAGACAGACAACGCACACAACACACCCAAAGCACCCAAAGACCTTCTGGGGCCTGCGCAGCAAGCCACAGCGCTTGAGACGAAACAGATGTCTATGGAATGTTTCAAAGTGACAACACAGACGTCAAAACAAGCAGGCGCGACGCGAAGATGCAGTAGCGACGGGAACGAGGACAGACGCGACAAAGATTCCAAGACACTGTAACCAGCTGCAGGCAATGCGCGAGAAGGAGGCAGGCGAGTTGCAGCGCAGGACGTGAAAGAGCTGACTCTGATTTGATGAGAAGGGAACCACGGCAGCAAGATTCACCTCCCTTCCGTCTCCCTTTCTTCCTTTAAAACCTGGACGTTTGCGCTTCTGCGACGCAGAGGGCTGCGAGCGCAAGGGGCGGCGACTTGCGAACCTGAAAAAAGAATCAAGTAGCCACGCGAAGTCTGAGATGGCGCGACGAAGGAAGGGATGAGGATGGACTGGAAGAGGGACAATCAAATGGAGGAGAGGGGATGGCGATAGGACGAAAGTTGCGGTATGCAGAGCCAGCCTTTCAATAATGATGAATCAATCGTCCGAGAAGTTTCCCTTGTGGGGAGGAAAGTTCGCGAGTTAGGTTTGGAGGGGAAGGCCGATAGTGGTTTGATGGCAATAATACAACTTTGGGGGGAGGGGATAGGTGAGAAGAGGTGGATGGTGAGCGACAGAGTAGGCAGAATGAGGGTCCAAAAGAAAAAAAAATAAAAATGACCACAGTATCTAAAAGAGAAGTTGGAGGCCGCAAGAGAAGGCCAGCGTCGTTAAACGGTGGTAAGTAGGAGGGGAGAGGTATTAGACTGAGGGAGGACCTGACCAGGACAAGGACGGTTCAGGTACCCGGCCAAGGTGGAAGAGTCCTTTCTTCTTCGCTCCTCGACCAGCCAAAATACCCAGGGCGGGACTGTGTTTGTCTTCGCACGCGCAAGTCGCGTCGTTTGTTGTTGATGGCATCCTACTCTGGGTTTAGCCCCGGGAGCGTCACGCGTAACCTCAAGGGCTTTCTGTGGATCATACGATACATATCAGGTAATTTTCATTTTCTTCCTTCCTCCATCGACACCGTCGCCGCGCCCCGCCTCTATGCAACTCTTCTTTTTCCTAAGTCAGATCATCTCGTATGTCCTAGATACAAAGCCCAGCTAAGGAGGGCGAATATAGAACAGAAACAAAGGTCAAGACACAATCTATAAATTGTGAGCCAATTCAATCTTCCAACACTTGAAGATGGCTTTCTACCACACTCTTCAATTTCTGGAAGCTCTCACCGCCTTTTAGACGCGATCAAGATTTCCGGGAACCCGGCCACATCGAGTCTCAATTGTAATATTAGTGTGTTTGTGATCGGTAAGTCAATAATTCAAGACTCGTGACAGTACCATGTAGGCTCCTGTACCCAGTGGGAGAACCAGATGACTTCATCATCAGTGCCACTCTTTCCCCATTATTCACATTGCTTATCCCTCCTATCGATAGATTTGATAAGGCAAGCGGGGAGGAGGGGGACGAGCGGCGGTCGGATCAACCTTGCCCTTCCAGATGGTTTCATCTCGCTCCCTTGCAGGTGCGCTGGAATAATTACCTCGACCACCCCTCCTCTACTGTGACCAGGCATCTGAGATCATCAACCCGATGTCCCACAAGTGCCATAGATCGAAGCTTTGTCCTAACCGTCCGTGGATCTCGAATGCTTTTACTATGTACTCTGTATAAAGCCTGAAGCCATTTGTCGCAGCAGTTAAGATTCCTCTCCTAGTGCGGAACGTTTCTATGCATCCCATTTTCTTTCCCTTCCTACCCCACAGCCTACATACCCAATAACCCATAGAATTACGGTCGTGCATAACGAGCAGAGTATTCAATTTTATTCTTGTTGTGCTTGGCACGACTAAAACTACTGGGTCCCTCTTTTTCTTCCTTTCTCTGTTTGGGGACGGACGGCCCATTGTTCTGGATAAAAAGTCCTCTTACTCCGTATTTCTCGCTCTTGGAGGCTCCAGACGCTTGCACTTGCGCCCGCTATTACTACCTGGCGAGCCACCAGTGGTGCCCAATCCCTTCGTCGCGTTCATACTGTGCGGCTTGAACGACGACGACCACCACCACCTTCTTCTTTTTCTCCTCTTCCATTTCCTCCTCAGAAACACATGCTAATATTTACTGGCTGTGCTCATCATGTCTGGGACCAACAGCAAGAAAGCGGTTTTCCATACGTTCCGTATGGTATGTACTGTACGGAGTACTTCACATGCAACGTTGGCTTTGCGATTGCGAAACATCTCTCTTCTCTCTCTCTCTCTCTCTCTCTCCCCCCCC